TTAATTTTGGAGGATGAAAATAGTTATTAACGTAACAAGGCCGATAAATAACTGCCAAAGTTGAAGTTTGGAATCCGAGGCGGAGCCGAGGATTATAATCAACCGAGGTTGTTATTTGTAGATAATAATTATCGGCCATGTTTGGTTCAAGATTTTTGTCGCACAACTGCAGATTTTGCAAAATAATCGTAATGCTTTCTTCACTTTGATTTCTTCAGAACAAATTTAGTTGCTTGGGACTTTTTTATAATCTTTCAATCAGTTGTTTGGCGGCCGTTAAGTTTAACTTTTTTGTTATACCTACAATTCTGATCATGTTATTGTTATAGTAGGTTGTACATTAACAGTACAGTATGGTCAGTATGACGAAATAGTTATTTACATAACCTAACAAACAAATGATATTTTACTGCACGCATAATGACAGTACCTGTTAAGGGCGGTAAAGACGCTTTCGATATGACGTGTTAGGTATATAGGTACAAAATTTGACCCATATGACCATCTACTTCTCCAAAAAATGGTATTATTGAAAATATACTTTGCGTCGTTCGTATATGCGGAAAAGTAGCATTTTGTGCATCTGTTAGGAAACTAACTGTTTTTGTTCTTTCCGATTACAATGCTTTCCGTTTACCACCACCTGGCGACATCTAGCCGTGACTAATTTTAGTGTATCATCCGGACTGCGCTCCTGATAAAACCTTCTCACCGGCCAAAGAAAGATATCTGCTGTTGTGGCGCCATCTGTTATCCGCCGAGAAGAATGTTATAAAGTTAAAATAACGACTGAAGCATTGCTGTAGAAAACTTGGTACATAAAGAGTTGGGCGCTATCTCTCGGTGTTGATTTCTTCTAAGTTTAGTAGTTTGGTCTGTATACTAAAGATGGCACATTTGGCAGAACCTTTAAATTCAATAAAGTCTAAATCTGTTTTCCTGATAACGATAAAATAAAAGGTGCTGTTAACAGTGCTAAATAACTGGGTCCTATGTCCTATGATCGAACGTTTACGTTATCCGTAAAGTAGGTACCTACATGTTAGGCCGAGTTTTAAACAGGAACGGTGCAAGCATGATGGAAAGTTTTTCATAACCGCATCACTGTTATTTTCCGCCTGTTATAATATGTTCTAATTTTTAACATATCGTCTCAACAGCCTCTCGAATGTTACTACTATTTTTATTTTGTAAGAAGTCCTATTTAATATGAAGGAGATAATTAATAATAAATAATTTACATTTAATACAGAAATAGAGAATGATCCGGCTCCAAATCTCAGAACAATTTAGTGTATGTAGTCGAGGGGGTCCCAAAGGACTATTAATTAGGACACAAGATCTCAACAAAAAAAAAAAATTAAATTTCATCGTTTTAGTGAGAAGGTAGAGCTACTACCTTATGATTTAGATTTGAGATTTTCACTTTCACTTTAACTCGTTGTCCTAATAGACCGATCTCCTATTACCTGGACTGCGCGCGTCGCTTGTAGGCTGCAGGTGAGCGTCCAATGAGAAGCAGGTTTCTTACAGGCTTACGTCATATTCTTATTCAGGGGCCAGTTCAGAATGAATCGTTCCTTCTTTCTTTGTAACGTGTAATTCGACAAAGAGCAAACTAATACTTTACATATTACTTGAACTCGCCGCAGTGTGGTTTTAAGGTTATGTTAAATTATACTTGCCATATTCCTTTGCAATTTCATTGTGCGATGTTGCCGGATGAAACATTTATCAAAATAAAAGTGCAAACGATGTTAACATACACTTTTCAAGCGCTTCTTTTGTCTGATTTAAGGCGTTGTAAAATACTTGACACTATATCACTTCTTTAATGTTATAATGTGGGATTTGTATTGTCTACATTTGTTCTGCTACAATACAATCTGGCTACACTGCACCTACGAGTTGCGCGCGCATGTCATCTTTTATTACTTTCTAACTTGTATTTATTACAATTAAGCTCTCTTTTTCTAGTTATACGAGACAGGTCTATTGAGGAATAAATTCCTTGCACTCATTTGGGTCCTCAACGATCTGCCTCAATGTTTCCAGGGTATCCACGCCATTTGCTGCAAACAAAATTTTTGTTGGTTAGTACTTATTGAATACCTATACAGGGTGTCCCACGGTGGATGGCGTATTAGACGTTTATAGAGAACTAAAAAGCGGATCATTTTGAAAATTTGGCAAACGGGATAAACGACCATAATCTACACTTTAAAAATGTTTTTGTTTATGCGGAGTTGCCGCTTCTACTCTGAACCAGTGGCAACATCGCTATTTTAAATGGAACCCCCTGTATGTGAATGCATCTTTGGATTCTACGTGAAATTCTGAGCAGATTTCATGTAATATACCCTATACCTAAGTTCAACTGTTTTGGAAATATTGACAGTTGAAAATTGACTTTTTGCAACTTTGACAGGCTGTAAAACCTGAACGGTTAATTTTAGAGAAAAATCAATTTTACATTCCCATCTTAGATTTTTATAAACTATCATTTGACACCAACTCTGAATTTAAGCGGAGATTAAATTTAATTGGAATTTTTAATCATGGGCCGTCCCTTATTAATTATTGATATACCTGTATATTATTTAAAAACAAATTTCGCTCGTATCTGATAACAAACTCATTTGATTTATAACAAATTATGTGTATTACACCAAATACAGATGTTTATTAACTATTAGTATAAATTGATTTGAAATTAATGAAATTAAAGTTGATAATAAACAAATATTTTGGGACTATAATCAATAACTAATTTATTAGGATTAAATTTGTTTCATTAGTTATAAATATATGACCGCGGAACAAAGCATTTGTTTTTAATTAAAACAGATTTTTGAGCAGAATATTAATTAATAGCGAGTAATTTTTTTTTATATGAAATTTGTTATACTTATTGTTAATGAAAATCATCCAAACAAATATTTGTTAACTATTAGCCTAGTTTTTTTCTCAGTGTACCAATGTGACAATATTGTAGGTACAGATATTTATGCTCCAAGCCGAGATATGAAGTAAACAAACCGTAGGTAAATTTAAAGAAAAAGGGTTTCGTTCCCAATAAAAAATTAAAGTAAATGTTCAAAGTGTGCACAAACTGACTCAAAAAGCGAGTCAAAAAGGTTAGGTTGTTGCCGAATTTGGTCTGCTGCAGCGAAAATATACGATTGCGGAGGTCATTTTCGTCTTGAATTTCACGTCCATTGTAAACCAGAGATTTCATATGACCCCAAAAATTAAAATTAAGGGGATTTAGATCTGGTGATTTAGTAGGCCATTTTCGAGGCTCTGGCGCCCTATCCAACGATCACCAAATGTATCTCTTAAATGTTGGACAACAGTTGCTCCAATGTGAGCAGGGGCGCCGTCATGAAGCTACCACATGGTAGCCCGCTGTTCTAAGGGGATAGTTTCCAATAATAGGGGCAAATTATCACGAAGAAAAGTTCGATACACTACGCCATTTAATCTTGGTGGAAGTTCAAAAGGTCCAATCAAACTGTTTCCAAGAATTCCTGCCCAAATATTTATCGAAAATCTTTGTTGAAATCGGCTTTATTGAATGCTATGTGAATTTTCTTCTGCCCAGGTGTGAGTATTGTGATAATTCAAAATGCCATCTCTTGTAAAGCAATACTCATCAGTTACAGTAGATAGTACAGATTGTTCAAAATTCGTTCGTCTTTGGATTTCTTGGAGAAACCATTCACAAAAATGAACTCTGTCTGGAAAATCTCCAGGAGACAATGCCTGTACACGCTGTACATGATACGGGTAAAGCAAATTTTGTCGAAGAGTCCGATGAACTGTTGAGTGGGAATATCTAACTTGTTGGGTAATGGATCGAGTGCTTATTCCAGGGCTTTCTTCAACTATTGCTAAAATCTGTTCCTCATCGGCAGGTGTCATTTGTCTTGCAGGTCTCCGATTAACATTTTGTACACTTACACTTCCTGTTTCACGCAATCTTTGCAAAACGGACACAAATGTTCTATCATTGGGTGTTATCCTATCAGGAAATCTTTCCCTGTAGATTCTGACCGCTAAATGGGCATCTTTTAATGACTCTCCGTAAACAAGTAACATAGCCGCATATTCGACGTTTGTAGACATTTCACTTCCAAAAAATAAGGCGCGCGTTTTCAATACTTTGAGCATTTGACAAATCATGAATTAATTATCGGTTCAACTGAAGCACTTTTTTGTGCTATGTTGCCAAATATTTAGAAGCCGAATTAAGAGTAATATTTTCAAGTTATTTTTTTAAATTTTCAATGATTGTTTTTGACTAGATCTCATAATGATGAAAATTTTCTTTATGTTTCAAATATTCGTCAAAAAATGTCAGAACTGCAAAGGCCTTTTTCTCAAAAATATAGTTGAGTTTGGACCCAATATTGTATAAACTTTTTTTGGTCAAAATGGGCCATATTAGGGACATAAAGCTACTTGAAATAATTCGCCGGTATCGGTATCGGTATCCGTAACGCAACTAGATACGTTGACAAGCGAAAAGGCTGTTAAAGCGCTCCCTGTTCCGGTAAACGTAAACGCATCTCATAACTTAGTAATTTTCGTGTCAAAACTCGGGCGTTTTTATGTAAAATGGTTATTTTTTTTGCGATAGAGAAGCACTAAACACACAAGAAACTCAAGAAAGTATAAATTAAACAAATTAAATCAACCCGGAAAAAAGGTGAGGTTATATTCATTTAAAATTTGACACATGTATCAGGAATGTCAAGATACGTTACCGATACGGATACCGCGAGAGGGCCGTAACGTTACATTGTACGTACGGTATCTCGGCCTCCGTATCCCTTCTGCACATGCGCAGTTCGATACCGATACGGATACCGAGCAAAAAATACGGAAGCTTTATGTCCCTATTTTCACGTGTTAAAATTTTTGTAGTCAAACCTGATTCACTCTGTATACATGGAACATCGTGACAAGCCCTATTCTCAGTCAAAATTATTGTCAGTGTGAATGATGTAACGTCAAAACACAATCCATTCAATTATAAAATTTTATGTCGAAGCAACAAACACAAAAAGTCCTTATACCGAAAGGAACAATAAATCCAAATGAGGATACGGTAATAGAAATTCCGACAAATTACAGAAAAGCTCCGGTAGTAGTTGCAACTAAATCCAATAGAAGTGCCACTATAGCAGCTAGAAGTTCTAAGACCACTAAACAAATTGCCGAAAGAGATGTGGAAGATTTCAATTATGTAATGTATAATCAACAACCTACTTTAACACCATGTCCAGCTGTATGCTATAGTGAATCGATAGACCAGAATCAAGCGACAACCCAACAACAATTTCGATCAGCAAAACGTAAAACTGTTCAAACGGGCATATCTGAAAATTATTCAAATACCATATCATTGAGTGACCTTAGTGCAAAAGAAAAGGCAGAAACAAAACTAGTTCAAGAAAAACTAGAAGCTTTCCAACTAGCCAGAAGACAGTTTTTGATCGAAGCTAACAATATTACTGAAAATAGTAAAGGGGTTCAAGCTAAACCATCACAATCCTAAATTTTTTTAATCAAATTTGTTTAGAACAAGGGTCAGAATGAATTATCTGAATATGGAAAGAATAAAGTAACTTTATAATGTGCAAATTTTTGTTTGGTATTTTCTACCCTTTCAGTTAATAATAAATAAATCCTGATAATATAAATGTGCAATTTATTTAGGATAATATACTTTTCAATGTTATTGAATTTTTAAAATATTTCAATAAGTACTAAATATAAAATTAGTAGGAGCGCTTCGGAGAAATTTAATAGAGTTTCAACGTAAATTTGTTAGATGTAGATTGACCTTCATTAGCAAAACCTAATGGCGTTTCCGATTGGTAGATTTAGTGCGGAACTAGAGCAATTTTTTCTATTTCTGTCTTTTTCTTCTACAGGTCGAATAAAAGGATGCAAATACACTCAGTGCTCACTGAATTTACCAATCGGAAACGCCATAAGGTTCCGGATAGACTCAAAAGGTTATTTTTGTTTTTATTTCTCACAATATTTGGGTATTTTTCCTATTATTTATGTGCAGTCACCTGCAATTTTTGAAATATTAAACAATTAAATTAAACCCCCGATAAGAGCTTTTCAGGATTTCAAACTAAGAACTTCATAATTTTTAACTTGAAACTAATACTATATTACTTTCTTGTTTTGGCAAGAACAAAATATTCTTTAATTGATTTCGTGTACTCACCAATGAAAGGTCACTTCTGGATTCCTAAAAAATAATTATTCAAATATTATCGTACACAATTATTTTGAACTCTGTATGAACACTCTGACAATGACATGACGTCAAAATAAAAAAAAATCACACATTTTTCGTGAACCATCATCAAAATTTTAGTATGCCACATGTCGAAGAAGGGATCCCAAAGAATTCTCATACCGAGAGGTCTAGTAGATCCAAATGAAGATACCATAATAGAAGTTCCCAGAAATTATAAAGAAACTCCAGTAGTAGTGGCAAGTAGATCTGAAAGAAATGTAAACATTGCCAGGAGTACCAAAAGCATTAAACTTAGAAAAGATGAAGAAGATTTTGATTATGTAATGTACAATCAAAAACCAACTGCCCAATATCCACGTGCACGGAATCAGGCGGTAAGCTATGTTCCACAAGCAAACTATAATACTCAACCATCTCAAGCAACGATCGATGCCCAACCACCAGTAAGCTATCCTCCCCCATCAGTGCATAGTCGACAACCAAACCTATATCAGCCACCAATAAAATGTACAAACGCTACAACTTATGATAGTGCAGTGCCTGAACGAAACCTAGATATATCATTAACTAACCTTGACGCAACAGAAAAAGCAGAACTGCAACAAGTCCAAGATAAACTAGAAGCATTTCAAAGAGCAAGAAGACAATTTTTACTGGAAGCTAACCAACTTACAATTAGTAAAGGAGTTCAGACTGCACCTCCTTCAGGAACGGGGTCAACAGGATTTTCGACAATACCTTCCACGTCTTCTAGTCGAACACAGACAAGTATTTTGAACACTGGTTCCTATTTATCATCTAGTACCAGAGAGCGAACCAGACGAGTACAAGTTACTGAAAATGATTCTGAAGATGATGTTGGTTATAGTTGCATATGTAAATAGTTAAATAACGCCTTGTAGTGTATTATCAACACATTTATAAAAGCGAGTACCTACCTAACGTACCTAACTATTTGTTGTATTCCCTTATACCCTATTAGTAAAGTGCTTGAAAGATAAATATTTATAAAAGCAAGTGGATTGTTATTTCATTTCGATACGTTGAATCGCTAGACTGGATGGACACTCGTGCATCAAAATAAACCTGATAATTTTGATACATTTGTGTAAAAACCGTATTACATCTGTGTATTTTTTCGTGTATTTCTACATGCATGTATAAATTCATGAATTTTTCCACGTGAGCAGCAGTCAAAAGTGCCCAATACACGGCTTATATTATTTTCGCTTTAAATTCGTGTATTTCTTCATGCATAAACATATATATGTTGAAATACATGAAAAAATACACACATATAATGCCGGCTTTATAATTTCTTACGAATAGAAACCAAAAAAATATAGCTCCTATATTTCAGAGTTTTAATAAAATGAAGCTACAATAAATTCATTTAGAGCCTGGAAATATCTAATTTATTTTCTGACGTTATTAATTTTCATTTTGAACATTCTAATATTTGAAATCTAATTTAAAATTTTTCGTAGTATTACCTGTATATAACCCAGACTCTAAACTATAACCGTGGCGAATATTTTCAATTAACACCTCCAGCATATCTAAAAGCGTTAACTTTCCCCGTAATATTAAAAAATCGCTGAGCCGTACAAAATGACATGAAGCCCCACGCAGTTGAATATTTGCGCGCATTTTCTACCTTAATTTTCTAATAAACCTAGTCTCACGTAACTGGAGGGTGTGCTAAAAGTTAGCTTTTGGTTAGCGGTACAGTACATTTGAAAGCCTGTTGTTAAACTTTAATTCCTGTTTCCAGCAATAATCTTTTTCCACGGTTGTGAAAGTGTGCTTTAGTGTTTGATACTTGTCACGTGTACTACTTTGATTAGTTGGCATAATGCGAATATTTTACCTAAATAATGTCATAATTACCATGGTTGATAAATCCATGTAACAAATTCTTAGTCTATAACAACCTCGGTCGCAGTTCCTCACCCACCACACCACATGTTAATATACTATAAGCAGGTCATCTTTGAGCGTGGAAAATTCACTACATAACGCCATATTATTCCAAAGTGACACACTGTTGAACACTTTCCTTCGTTGAGTTGGTGTTTGATACGTTTTCCATTATTGCCTGAGTATGAATATTTTTGCTCGAAATGTTATAAATGAATAGGATGTCAAAACCGAAAAAATTATGTAAAAAAATATCTAGGTCCGTATTTATATTACAGAAAATTAATTTGATGATAGTGTTAGAAAACCGAAACGTCAAATTTCTAAAATAATATCACCACAGTAAAGTCCACCCAAAAGTGCTTCAAAAAAGTTTTCTTGATTATCCACGATCTTTCAAAATAAAGCCCGGAAGAAATAAAAACCAGAATCGCAATTTTCGGAATTTTCCGATTATTTCCGAAAGTATTGGGAATTTGCGCAACTTAGTAAAGGTGCAACACCGGTTCTAGCACAAAATCAGTAATTTTCCCATGTAAATCTCCATAAGAAAATCTAAGGTCCGTTCTGGCTAGTGACTTGGTACCTCATTCAAAGTGCTTCGTCGTACTGATGATGACGTAACTAATAATAAAATCTGCCTCGTGCTTTGTCTAGTTGCAGATGTAAGTTGCACGAGTCCGGAGAACAAAGCGCCAGAAATTAAAGGCCTGTAATACGGGTCAGTTCAATAGCTGTATCAGACGTTTTTAGAGACAGGTCTGTATATAGCTATACAGGTCTAGAGACAGGTCTGTATACAGCTAGACTGGTCTGTATACGGCTATACAGGTCTAGAGACTGGTCTGATACAGCTATTGAACTGACCCGTATTACGGGCCCCTTAATTTCTAGCGCTTTATTCTCCTTGCCCCATTCACATAACCTAAAAGTTGGCTTCCGCCTCGTGCAAATTGACTAGTTAGTGCGAGAGCACTGGAAAGGGGGTGGGGCCAATTAATGGATATTTTACCCATACTCCAAAATGGTACGAAAGTTACCAGAACGGACCTTAGATTTTCTTATGGAGATTTACATGGGAAAATCACTGATTTTGTGCTAGAACCGGTGTTGCACCTTTACTCAACTTTTGTCTAATTTAACCACCCTCGTATCTCTAACGATATCCTCATGTTGGCCCTCGAATTTGGAACACCCCACTGTACATCAATTGTAAGTATCTAATAATAAATGCTTTGTAATAAAAATGTATTAAAAGTAAAAGAATCATACATTTCTGGTTCGGTATTTTTAATATTGGAGATGTTTTATAAAAAAACTCAAAATCAGCACATATTGCAAAAGGAACGCGGCCAAACTCGTCCTAAATGGGAAAATTTACAGACACAGGACTCTGGAAGAAGTTTAACGTAAGCAAGGCATCTCTGATTACAGCATCAGATACGTCAAGAACTCCTCTATCCTTTATTGCGAACTCACTGAGCGGAATAAGTGGAACATCACACCAATGCCGAAAATTCTACATAAGCACACGCCTTCATCCTGAAATGCCTATACGGACAACATCGGCACTACAAACATTACATATTTGATTTTAAATAAAATTATTATTAATTCAAATTGATGAAGAAGCTAATATTTACATTATTGAATATTCATATTTCCCTATATTATCGTGAAACCAATCTCTCAGTAGGTATTTAATTCTATAAGAGACTCCACAACTGACCTTTGAGCTCATATTGAGATTTTTGCTTATCGGTTAAAGAAATTTGATAATGTCTGCAATAACTGATTTTGTTCCCGATCTTTTCTGTATATCCCGTATAGGCGCAATAAATGGGCCAAAAATAAGTAAGCCCCGCATAGGATATTTCATTCAGAGCACACATTGTTTTGTGTCGTTAGTCTATATTTACGTATATTTTTTTAAATTAATTGTAGAGAGCGTACAATAAGAAGCCAATAAGCAGATAAAACTCTCTTATTGTTCATTTCTCTAGTTTTTCAATGGCTTCTGTTATTTCTAGCCAATCCTTTGTTCATACGTTTTATGTAAAAATAACACTAAAGTACGAATTTAAGCTTTTTTTTAATTTCTCTAAGCAGGTGGGATGGTCTTTTCATGAAAATGAAACACACGCATGCCTACTGTTGAACCTAAAATTGCCGCGACTAAAGGCTTTATCCAACATACATACACAATCGCGCTTCAATTTTCGTACTAAGCGGATGCTTGAACGTTCGTGAAAACTCGCCGAACTCCGCGGAAAACTTCCAATGAAACTTTAAAACTTTTTTGAAAATTGAAAAAAAAAAAAATATGTCCAAAGAAGTTTTAACTACTATGACTAAACCCACCGAGATGGTTCCACCTCATATATGGGCCGTGATCCAACAAGTATTGTTAGGTGTAAATACGGATAAAAAACTGGACCTCAGGGAACCCCATCCCAAGAAATCCCTAGAAGGAGTGGCTTCGTACATTATTTTCGCATATGGCGTGCTCGTCGTTTACGGAGTGCTGTCGAATATTTTGTTGTTTATTCACGTGATGCAGTATAAATTAAATAAAGACCCAACTTATGCATTTCTATTGAACAACTGCATTAGTGATATTATTAAGTGTATGATTGTACTGCCAATTAGTTTGTATGTTTTGCTAGTACAAAACTGGATGTTGGGGGAGCTTTTGTGTACTTTTTTGCCGATGATACAGGTAAGTTTCATAATTAATCGGACTACGATACACCACATATTTTTGCCTGAGAAAAACGTGTAAGATATGTTATAAGGATATTAATAATTTGTTTGGCTTGACTTGAAAGTTTTAAACACAAGCATTAGAATAATGGAAATTGAACGCTTTTCTGGATAATTAAGAAATTTAATGTGTTTGTTGGGGACCATATAACAACATTATATAACAAATATCCTATTTACTATAAAAAATATCAGTCTGCAATATCGGTTTTGTTCTGCCATACTGTTACCGCTAGTTTAAATTTATGTTGAAATTTGTATATATAATCTGTAATAATTTGTTTCCAAACAAATACTTCTTTTGACGACCGTTCTGGACGCTCTTATGCCGGGAAGTGGATTTTGGACCTACTTCCCGGCCTAGGTTCGGAATTAATCCAATGAGTCGGAAATCCTTTGAGAGTTTCCAAAAAATCAGATGTTATGGAAATCAAAAGTTAAAGAAATATAAAATACCTACTATATTGTTCATTTCAAATGGTGGCTGAGAAAATAGTTTACCTAACGTAGCACGCCTGAATAGTGTTTTTTTCAGATTTGCCTTGTCGTAGGTGCAAGAAAAAGAGTAGGTGCCTACTTTACAGTTTCTTTTCCAGACCCCTTAGTTAAAGCTTAAATGGCCTACACACGCTTCTTTTTTTTCCGAGACTTGACCGATAAATCCTAGTTGAGGCAAGAAAATTTTTCATCAATTTAAGTTATTTTTAATCCTTACATAAATGTAGATTCTTGAAGTAAAGTTAAGTGTGTAACAAGAAAATTATTAATTCTCAATTTTTATCATTTTTATATTTTCATTAAATTTGTTGTGTCACAATTCAATTCACTTGATCCAATATAATAAAGAAGTCCAGACATTTCATGGTAGTTCAACTATTGTTTTATTGCTAAGCTCTCTACATTGGCATAATTTGTTTTCAACAACCTGGTGAATTGCTCCTTGGAAGTAGTAGCCAATGACCCAGAGAAGAAGAAATGTTTGAAAACTTATTTTGCTATAAATTTTGCTTTGCAGCTTTTTCTTGAAACAGTTTTCTTAATATCTATTACTTGTACGTCTTTTTTCGCTTTTACTTTTTTATTTAGCACGCAAAATTTATGTTTACACTATGATATGAGAATTTCTTGGAAATTAATCAGCTAAAGTAGAGAACATAATATTAGTTTGCTGACACATTCGTCGTTGCGTGGTTATTATCAATAGCGACACATAAAAACAAAATATTAATTTCGCAGAGGCTTTCAACAGCTGCTATCGGAATGTTTGCGTTTTGCTGTTAAACACTATAATTATTTCCTAACACTATAATTATTTCCTAACTTAATCTACATCGACTAAAACTGTCAAACGTTAAATTAGTTAAAGATGTTTATGTACACCCTTTTCACGACCCATTATCCACTCTAAGTGCAAAACCTAAAATCAACACTTTGCCCATAAAATCAACTAGAATCCCTCTTTGGGGGGTAATTAGAGCAAATAATAAAAGATCAGCGCGTTTAGGTGGTATTACTTACAAGTTAAATTGAATAAGTATAAGAGAAGAGATAATGGGTTTAGGACGTTGGAAATAAAACACCCTTTCTCAAAAAAGTATGCCGACGTTTCGACCATATATTTGATCTTCTTCACAGGCTACAAACAAACAAAAAATGGTCTTGAAATGTATGGCGAGACATGAAAGAAAAAAAAATCTTAGATATATATTATATATATATAAACCACATTGTTGTAAACCGAATAACACAAATTTCCCTGAATATACATGGCGTGAGAAATTGAATAATACATTAAAATCATAAATGACATATTGTTAAAACCCAGGATTAAAATAAAATATGTAATATTAGTAATTATTCAAACCACAGGCATGAATGTTGAAAAACATTCAATTCAAAAGAAAAAAAAGGCATGATGCTGTTAAAAACCTCAATTTAAAAAACCCAGAGAAAAAAAAAAGCCAAACATGAACTACATACGTATTTTTACCAGCAAGGGGTCGTTTGATGTCGAAAAATTGTGTAGAAAGGATTCCAAAATACAAAAGGACGAACAGCATCAATTTTGCCATTTGAATTTTTATTTTAATTAATTATTTTTTTTTTTTTTCAAATATTATATACGCAACAAGTAAGTTGACAAACACAACCGCGACTAGGTAATAGTAGATCGTGATGCATCGCCAATCCATTCTCTGGAATGTCCCGGCGTTCTTTTTTACCATTTTTCCCTTCCTTCAATAAATAAATCTCTTTGCACGTATATATCAATATTAATATTCAATATTTAGTTTATACAGATTTAATAAATAATTATACGGAACATTTAACCCAATTATATTTTCGATTAAGAAACCTGTGTTTCATAAAACAGGAAATTTTGTTTAGTGTAATGTCTATCTGTGTTAATATGTCATTGAATGTCTGTTTGGTTCATGACTACAATTTCTACTGGTACTTTACGAATAACCTACATTTTTGTTCATACTCTCGGCTGCGCCTCGTGCTTCAAATTTTAAGCTGCGGGCTGCAAATATTAAATAATTTAATTCCTGCTTTAAAAAAGGCTCATTCACAAAAAACAGGTACCTGTTAGTTTTTTCCTCAGTTGTTTCAGTCCTTGTATGCTGCTCGCGTGTTATGATTTCTTAGTTGTTGGATAAAACATTGTAGAGTAAAAATCAAACGAGAAGAAGCCACACGCGTTATCGTTTGTCTCACTTCAAATAGGACGGACCCAGATAAAAGGAAATCTGCCTTCTTTATCAGCGATGAGGTCAATGGCGTCTTCTCGTTTGATTTTTACTCTATGCTACTCGTGTGTTATGTTTTCTATAAGTCACTCAAGAAAATATACCCTTCGGCCTGACGGCCTCGTGGTATGAATGTTTCTTGCGTGACTTATTTTCAACATAGCACACCAGTACCATAAATAACTATTATGGAAAGAAAACTACTTGCAACTATTCGTAAGCTCCATAGCAAGTAGTGAAATTAATTGCCAAAATAAACGTTTTTTACTTATAAACCCATAGGCGCATGCGCTTTGGTTAGGTGATAATAGCACATTACAGTCCGCACTGTGGTAGCCACCTTGCACACGGAGAAACGTGTTTGAATAAGCAGAACCAGTGTTATTGAATAATACAGAACCCAAAGAATGCTTGCAGTATTTATTTAAAATAATGATTCACATCAAAAGATGCTCAAAACTACGACAACCCGCCTCAATGCATGTGTAACAGCGTTGTAGCAGAAATATCGAGTAGATTTCTGCAGGAAACCCTTTCCTGTTTCCCTGTATGCCAGACAAAACATAGGGTACCAAGACGACAGACCACCACCACATTACTTGTTAGCCTTAAGGGAACATCTCAACGAAACACCTGGAAAGAGTGATTGTTAAGTGGGCATGGACTCCACGTTCACCAGACCTGACAGAATGCGACTTTTTTTTATGGGGTCATATGAAAGCTCTTGTTTACGACACTCCAGATGAAACAGCTAGAGGAAGTTAGTAGGAAGGATTGTTGCAGCAGCTGCTGAAATTCTAGAAACACCATGAATTTTTCGATATATTCAGGAGGCTATACTACGGCGCTGTCACGCACGTATGGAGGTTTGGTGGTCGTAGCTTTGAGCAACATTGTTTTTAGTAAATACTGCAAACATTCCATGGGTTTTGCATCATTTAATAGCATAGTTTCTGCTTCAAACCTGTTTATCCGTGTGTAAGGTGGCTACCACAGCGCGACCTGTAATGTTCTATTATCACATAACCAAAGCGCATGCGCCTATGTGTTTATAAGTAAAAAACGTTTATTTTGGCGCGATCTATTATCCCTTATTTTTGGCACATTAGTTTCGGAACACCCTGTATAAACAGAAGTTGGTGTGCTAATTCCAGTAAGATAAAACACATTATCATAAAAATCTCTAGTTAGCAAGTTTTATTTATTTACATCAGTTATCTGTTGGAACGAGTTCTGCCGCAAATCCAATTAATCTCATGTGAACTGGCAACTAAATGTTTCAATATTTTCTCAGCTAGTAGGTATATTTGACTCAAAAATATTTACCTGAAATCATTAAATGTTTTGAAGTTAAACCATTAAAGGAATCCATGCCGTTCTTAATTTATTTTGAATTAATATCATGAAATCATTTGAATTGTAATCGATTTCACTTTCTCAGTCTCCCAGATTTTACGGTCTCGGACATTGAACCGTTTTCGTGAAACAGAGAAGCCTTTAGCCAGATCCAAATCATATGACGAAATTAATTTCTTGAAAACGTGTAGAGCAAATGTTAATTATTCTGCGGTACTTGAAATAAGATCAAACTACTTCTTTTCTCAAGAAATATTGGCCTTTCCTTCGCATCTTAAGGAAAGAACAATATACTGCAACTATTATTTTAACTAAAAATCAACAGGGAAGATACATCATGAAAGACATTGCTCAGTGGGTAGCTATTCGTTTTTCTGCGAAATATGTCATACTTTATGGAGGTATCTCAAAAAAACCCATAACTTCTTTATTCGATAAAATGTATTTGCTAGCCATTTATTTATATGGTTTTGTACTATCAGTTCATCACTATCTTTAAATAGGTGTCCACGTATTACCGTTTTTCAAGCTTGAAGCAAGTTGGAAGATTGTTAGATAATAGTAAACTATGCAATGATCATGTGATGATAGCCATTAATACACGAGCATGTTATACATGGTTTTTCCTATCATAATGATACTCAAGTTTTTCTTGCCAGAATTATAATCACAATAAGAGGCATCGAACCTTTTCATCTCAAAAACATATAGCATACATTGTTGGGTATTACTTCAAGTGTAACGGCGAATTTTCCTAATATAAGAGTAACAGGGGTTGATTGTATGTCTTGCTTCACAGGGGAATTGTAAAACGTTGCGCCATTTTAAATTAAAAAATTTGGAACCAATGAAAACGGTAAACAGTCCCATTTGCGAGAGGATATTTAATGAAACTGATGAAATCGTTTGATGTCACATCACCGGAGATTTTAAAGGGCTTGCGCATCATATTTGTAATATACATTATAAAAATTATTTTGCAATTCGTATCGCATTTCATTATTTGAGTGGATACGATACGCACTTCGCTTGGCTTAACATTTTCATATCACTTTAATACCTGAAAATAAGTTTGTTTTGTATTGTCTACCAACTTCCTACATGCAACGTTCAAATTTTATGCGATTGGTCTGCAAAACTTTGTCTCATTATAGTTAACATATTTTTTTTTTTTCAGGATATTCCTATGCACGTGACAATGCTAACTTACGTCTTCTTGGCCTGGGATCGTTGCAGATACCTGAGAAACAACAGAAAACCTCGGTTGCCTGCTTTTGTGTGTGCTTTTGGTACTTGGCTGGCATCACTTTGTCTGGTACTTCCGTATCCTATCTATATTACACATCTCGATTTAGGAGTAAGTATGAACTAATATATTTAGGAGTTAGTATGAACTAATATAGCATTATGTTTAATAACATTTTATGTAGATAGTAATAAAGCATTATTATTATTATTATTATTATTATTATTATTATCTCTACCTCAATATATAATACACAATGTGTCAGAACTTTTTTAATTTTAGAGAGTTATTAATGGCATGTAATATTGACAGTTGAGTTGAAAAGGGCGCTTCTGTACTTGAATCTCTTCAAATTTTGGCGCGTAAAAAATCTATTGTAATTTTAACCTCAAGACAAGCTGACGCTGACACTTTTAAAAATATTCTCTAAGGACCACTGAACGCTTTGGAAAATATTTTAACTTATCCATTGTAATATTCATACACATAATACAAGAAATGTTAATAATATAATATATTCATTAAATGTAAGAACTAATAAAGGCCTATACAACCATATGTATCAGGCATCATGTGTATAGAGTATCTATAAGTAATACTTATATGACGTGCATCTACAAGTAATACTTATATGGAAATTTGAACGCCAAGCGCACCGAGGCGAATCAAATCCATGCAAGTCACATGAAGAATATTTATTCTCCGAATAAAATACTAGTATATTATGATATAAGTGTATAAGAAGGCCTTCAAAGCACGCGCGACATATTTCAAAACACGATGCGCAAGGGCTTTAAAGGCCCTCTTATACAGGCATATCATACACTATTTTTCATTACAAATGCATCATTATCTAAAAAAAAAATTTTATTTTCAAACGATCTTCATTCCAGATAGTGCACAATTTTTATTTTAAATTATGACATTCATATTTAGAAGGATCAGCTTTTTAAGCACCTATACCTGTATGTGCAGGTGAACTACCTTAAATCGCTATGGGGAACAAAGTACATAGCGGAGTATTATACTCCGCTCGACTCCGCTCAAGCTGAAAGTCATTGAAGTGACTATACCCAGTCAAAAAAAATATAAACTCATTTTAACACTGACACGGAAAGCACTCTAAATTCCATTTCAACACTCAGTGAAAAAATGAGGTCTCATTTTAACACTGTAGGTATTAGAATACGCTGATTATTTTGGCGTTTGGGTTAAAATTATTCACCTTTGACAACTAAAATCAATATAAAAAAGATGCCATTCCGTAACTGAATTACAAAATAGCTAAAATAAAGTTTCTTAGGATGAATCTCTGCTGTTTCCGGACGAGGCGGCAGCCGAGTCCGGAATAACAAATGACTGCTCCAAAAAAACTATAATTTACGTACGTTTATGCAAAATAGTTAGGTACCGTTTATATATTGCACTGTTGAAAAATGTATCAAATTTGATTGGCCATATAGGCCAAAGAATACTAATAGGTCTGTTTCTGCAGAAATTCCGAACCAGTCAGAGCGAATTTCATTGGTTGAAAACAGTCAGAAAACTAGTTTCAACCAATGAAATTCACTCTGACTGGTTTTTGATTTCTGCAGAAATAGACTTAATATTGCGACACTTACGAAATTATGTAAAACAAACAACACACTTAAAAGGAATTTTTTTACTGTCGAAGGAATAGTAGTAGGACAAATGAAACTCGGAATTTCTCGCTCAGTGAACTTAAAATTGTCTGAAATTTGACATATAATATCATTATTAGACGAGGGTCGATGATCAGGGCGGAAAACCGAGGAAGGGCCGGACAGGGTCGTTTTATCCAGACCGACCAATAAAACGAATAACCAATAATAATTTATGCAGTCCAAATCAAACCTTTATAGGACACTAACCAAATATGTCATTCAAAATTCCTTAATATTGACCACATTGACCTTACGAATAGAGAGAGGCATTTTCAGAGATGACCTGAAAATATGAAGAAAAAAAAAAATCAAAATGGTAATTAATTCGGTACTTTTATGCTACAAGCATACTCTTTTCATCTTGATCATATCAGCCGTTGGAACCAATATCGAACATCTATACTTTAGACAAGATCGTAAACCCACGAATACAAAGGTTGAAAGGAGAAACTAGCAGGATATGGTTTCATCGCCGAATGGAAAAAAAGGCGAGGAGCATTTCATTCCAGATGCAATTTCTCGTTCCCCTTCCTATGACATTGAATCCAGAATCAACAATCAGCTCAAGAAGGCAAATAAGCCTAACGCCTGGCGTAAACAACAGCCTGTTCGATAACGTTCCGCAAATAAGGTGATTGGTCAATAGGCCAGGTGTGCCTGGCAACAGGGGTGTACTCGATTAACACACAAGTGTATAACATACAAAATTTCTTCAGCTACTTAAAGACACTACAACAAATAATTTATGAACCATTTTAGTTCAGTCTTTAAAGCCAATATATTTTTTCCAAAATATTTTGACATAAACAATTCTAAAAGTGAAGTTAAATAAAGTTCGTGTCTGAAGTGCAGCTCTGGTGAATACCTTAATACAGCTGCTTTTGTTCAGATAAGGCGCCAGGCTTATTTGTTTGGCTGTCAAATGAGGAAGCAGGGGCAGAGAGGATTTTTACCTAGGACTGTGCGATCATCCATGTATGCATGTTTCGTGTTTACACGGTATTTTATAAATGAAAACAGCAACAAGAATACTTCAAAAGTAAGAGAAGAAGAGCCTTATTTCATTGTTTGGAAATTCTCGTGTTCTATACACTCCACTCTGTTAAAAATAAGAGTCGCTCTAGGTCCGGCCCTGGAAAAGTAGAACTGAGGAAAACCACCTATTTAAAATATTATTTCTTCAAATTTTAACTTCTTTAAAAAAAAAAAAAACGTTTACTGAATAAAAGTAAATGTTGCTAACATGTAATGCGCTGTGAAGTTTTTTGGAACGGGGGCGCGCCACGGAAAATGAAAGTACCAAAAACCGAAGAGGAGACAAGACAATGGGAGACTAGAAAAGAAGATTGCCCCTTAGACGCTTGTCTGCCATTGTTCATTATCCAATTTCTATTTTTATTTTGTGTTAAACTGATTGTTTAATCCAATTTGTGATTAGTTTGTGTGTCAAAAGGAGCATTTACAGGTCACTTGAGTAATTGTTATTTTGTTTTGAGAGTTCAATTTATACAAGTATTCTTTTTTCATTTTTATGTTTTTTTTTTTGTTTGTTCATAACCTTTTTTATAGCATGTGCATTGTTCATGTATTTAACAAAAATCGTTTCATGCTGTGAACAAATCAGATAAAAAAAAAAGTAAATTAAAACCAAAGAAATTATGTGCTATCTTCTGTGCTGGGACTTTGATTTTTGGGTATTTAGAACGTACCATCGTCACCAAAAGTAACTGGGACAGCATCACATTAGCTCTTGTCCTATTATATGAATTTTATTGTCAAATATTTGTCAAACTATGCATTAAATGCATTGAAATGAATGACAGTAGAATTAGTCTAGCAGATTATTATGCATTATTTGTGTCCCAGTTACTTTTGGTGACGATGGTACATTAGGGCCTTGTTGAATTCACTAACAATTTTCTACCCTGACGAGCGAATATCCTAGCAAAGAAATTGAAAAATCAATTTAGAGTATTGGTTCAAAATAACAACTATAGCTGAGTAGCTTCCCGTGCGGGACCTCAGTACCTACTGGTGAGACTGGCTAACAAAAACTTTTCAGTATTAAATATAGGTAGTGTTGATTGAATGTAGTGTTTGGAATTAAAATTTTAGCACAAGAACAGAGACGGTACCTAATTTAAACTTTTATTGACTTAAATTATTGAATTAATGACTCACACTTATCATAAAAATGACATAGTATGTTTTGATTTTTGAGGAATGTTCGATCGAGGGTTTCTCTGCCGTTCTCTTTTATCTTTCCGAAAATTTCAACACTCTGTATTTTCTTAATGAGATGTTTGCGGACACATGTAAGTACACTGTACTCTATCAATTAAAATGCGCACTTATTTCGGACTCACCCTGTATAAATTAGTCTTGTATTTATTCCGCCATCTTGTGTCTTGTATTTTAGAGTATATGAGTGATTTTTTTTGGCACATTGTATTTCTGATGATTTTATATTCTTCTTCTAGTAGAATTAAGTATTCATTGTAAATGCTATATACGTGAATAAAATTTGAATTTGAATTTGAAAAGCAACCCTCATCCTTTACAAACCTGTGTTCAATTTTGACACTTCCCTACAAATCGGGCCTGTTTTTCGCGATCGCATAGTGAATATAAATCTTCCTTGCAACAGGGGGAGTTTTATTTTAGACATTATTGGGTTTTAAATTCGCTTTTGCTTTATTCCTTGCGGCACACATTTCGTGGGGCAGAATAATTTATGTTTTCTTATGACTTGCTGAACGCCGCGGGTGGACAGGTAAACAATATCAAGTGCTTGCGCGTTTTTCGAGTTGTTTGTTTGCTTATCCTGTTTCCGAAAAGAGAAACAAACACGAGACTTTTTATTTGCGGTTCGGTTATATTAATTTTTTCTTAGTCACTCAAGACGATTTCCAAGAATGCTGGAGGCTACCGATTTTAAACGTGATCAGAAGCACTCTGATTTGGTTTCTATTATTGCCTACAGGAGGCTGAGATAAAAATGAGACAAATAGGTGGTAAATTTCAACTCTCTAATGAATATAAATTAAGCAGTCCCTTAGCCCGGAACGAACGAACCCATTAACTATCCTTGAAGGTTATAAATGTTTATTAATTTTCCAGTTTGAGTATTTTCCCTGGAAACAAAGGCAGTTTCGGAAAATAAAGGCGAAAAGTTTTATTTTATATTTATAACCTTTTTAATAACTCGAACGATATATGGGGAGTTCCTCTTATTATGCAGTTCTCTCAATTTTGACTAAAAGAGTTAACATACAAATACAAAAAAAAACTTAATTTTGAAATTTATGAAATCAGTTTTACTGACTCGAATTATCTTTTGCAGGAGTTTTTCAAATCCCAAGAACTCCAAGGAGTAAGTATTTGCATCGTCAATTTGGCCGACGACATGAAGGAATACGTGCGGGGAATTTTTCTTGTCACGTAAGCTTCTCTCACTTAACGTTTTTTTAAAGTTAGGGGCTGGATTGAACCTTATTTTTTTTATAACTTGTGGTCCGAGTCCTACTAGATATTTCATTTTCACTATTTAATTTAGATTTTCTCATCTAACTATCTAAAATTTAGTATTTCTATTAAATCTTTCAGTTTCTAATTTTTAACATTGTTCGTTGGCGTTGTGGCTGAATAATAAATTTTTGAGCTGTAATCTATCATCACTCCTACTTATTTTGAACGCATGGAAACGTGCCTGGCATAACACTGTCCGCTTATACACAGAAGCGAAAACAGAAACAGCAGCTTTGAACAATTTTAGAGCTTAGAGTCGGGTTTTATCCGCTAAAAAAATAAATTTGGCATGTGGATTTTTTTATATGGTCAAACTGTTAATTGGTTATTCTAATAAGAAATGGATACGGATACGAAAGTTTTTCTCACAAACTTGTCTAGTTTTCCAATACCAATAAATCTTATCATTAGGTACTTCACAAACTTTATTTCTACACTCTATAAGTAAACTTGGTGAATAGAGTTTTATGGGCCATAACGAAACTATAAATTATGTTCCAGAAGGATGAATTTTTCCAATACATAAACTCTGTTTTATTTTGTTTTTTCATTGTAAATTTTGTTGTTTTCGTAAAAATTTATTGGCAAAGTTTCTTACTAGATAGCTAAGGGGTAAAACTTCGAATAAGCCTTTGGCTGCAAACAGCAGAGAAACAACGAAAGGCGGACTAATAAAACTCTAATTAAAGGCCCCAAAGGATATTCTAACATCGCTCAAAAATCATCCTACGCCTGATGCTAGTTGAAAACTCGAGGGCTTTTGAAAAATAAAAAAAAAATAAAAAATTTCTCTCGTTTACCAGTCAGATTTCGCCTGCAGTGAGGTTTAGGAATTTGAAATTTTTCTTGTTCGTAATTGAATACTGAAGGTATATGCTTATTTTCGAAATATTTCTGTGACATTTTAAACCCAAGTGCACGACACCGTTTCTAAAAATTTTATTATTGAAAGTTTTATTTTCCAGACTAACAGATTAGGAAAAATGCATTTATAGTTATAGCTCCGCAGTATAATACAGTATTGCCTATTTTAAATGCGCGCTTTCGCTTTATCACACTATATCTCCAAAACGGTTGATCGTCCGAAAAAAATGTATATAAGCAATTTGGTAGAGAATACTATTTTACGTATGTGTTGTTTGGAGTTTTTCGACGTCAGATGCACTGGAAGCGTGATTTTCGCGAAAAAAACTTTCGACCCTTTGGTATATCAAGACGCACACGGGTATAGGCACATGAGATTTTTTTGTGATTCATTAGAACATCAAAACAAAGGTATCTGCAAAAATTCGGCTTGTTCGACCTCATTCCGCAGAGGAAGTCTAATTCTGTATTCAATAAAAAAGTCAATAAATGAGTCCGACAACGTGTCGATAATGTTATAATATCTTATAAAACCACAAACCAACTGGTAGGGATAATAACCACTGTCTTAACACACAATTTAACCTATAGAAGACTATAACAATAATTTTTTAATGTTCAGAGCTTAGTTATTGGAAAAACTAACATAAACTTTGACAATATAGTCATAACTTTTTATCCTGATGCAGAATTCCCCTTTTTTATTATTCATGAAACAGTGGATGCATTGTTATCTGTGAAAGATGACAAATTGAAACAAGACTTTAGTATAATTAAAATACCTAATAGATTTGAACAAGCAGCGTTTAAATTTTATTTTATTTCGTGGATAATTGAGACGAATACAAATTTTTTTTTTTTCATAATTATAGAACTTGGATGACTTAGGAAATTTTTGTATATACAGTATCACCATTAAAGTCCTATGTCTACCCGCGGTATTTACTTCATGTCGCACATTGCATGTTGCATATTTGATGTTTCATTAGTGTACGACCGAACTTAATGACAAAATGTCATATCAAAAATCCTGATCAATAAATAAACAATAATGCAACGTAGGTACGTCAAATCAAAGCACTCTTTGATATGGTTATTATAGGTGCATGGATGACACTATTAATTGTCAAAGGCATACAATAAACGTTCCATTAAAATTGAAAGACTAGATCTAATGAGCAAGAAATCTAGAGGGCTTTATTTGAAATTGATGCAACTTTGCGTACACGCAGATATGACACAAATAACGTCATTTTTGATTGAAAATGTACATGTCAAATAAGCCATGCATCATTTTCAATCCCAATTGACGTCATTTGCGAGTACGCAAAGTTGCATCAATTTCAAATAAAGCCCCCCATGATCGATTGTGATGTATAAATAAAACAAGGTAGTTTTAACTACTAGTTTTAACTTCAATGAGATGGGTAAATTTGGATTGATGTTTCATGTTTATGAAGACTCTTTTCACCCAATAACGCCTATTGTGATCCCTAGGTTAAAATAAGTTAGCACATTCGGTGTTATAGAAGTAAAATGTTTACTGTTATATGGGACAGTTCTGTTATAGCAGTAGAAAAAAGTTTTAGAAAATCGTTACTGTACAAAATGTTGGGCAGTATTCTATGAAGTGAAAAAAAAATAGATTTTTCACACGTGTGTTCTTATAATAAGTGGGGAGTACTGTCAGGGTCACAATACTACTATTGAAGTGTCCTGTGATATCTTAAAATTGATGTCCCTGGGTATCTACTACTGCTATTAAAAAATGTGCAAGGTACCTACTCTAAAAACACTATCCTCAGTCACCATACCAATTTCAGCCAAATCGGACAAGAGGTTCAAAAGTATAGTTCCTAATGATCTTCCATGCACCACCATTAATTCTGGCACTGTCCGCGAATGTATTAGTCATGATGATAGCTCTGTGAGCTGCTTTCTCGCGTTCATTTTTTTGAAAATGGTTCAAAACAGGTTTGAAACAGTATATTCTCGCGATGAACCCATGACGTCACATCAAAATTGGTTCAAACCGTTTCGAAATACAATCCAAACCATTTTCTCGCGCCGAGAAGTTATGACGTCACGTGACACTGTTTTAAATCAATTTCGAAAAAAATTTCAAAACATTTGAGACGCGAGAAAATACCTCAAGTTACGACAATGGAGCGGAACAGTTGTTGTAGTTCATATAGCTTGGACTAATTCGCGTAAATTGTAGCAGTTCGGATAGATTAGAGTAGATTCGGGTAGGTTCGAGTAGTTCGGGTAGGTTGGAGTAGATCGGGTAGTTTCAATGAACTAAACAAACACTCTGGAACGGGCGCACTGCTTTATGCTAGTGTGCCAAATTTCAATGTATGCAACCCTATTGTTGGGTGGGATTATTGTCTCACATTGCGATTAATGTAAAAGAAAGAAGACATTTTTCATCTTCCTTACCTCAATGATCCAAACACTTCAAACAGCTGTGCTCAATAGTCGCCATAGTGCAGAAAGAGATGCAAATCCCTCTTGTTTGTTGTCCTTCCTGGCACAAGCCCATACGTAGAAACAATTATGTATATTCTGTTCACAATCCGATGTCCACAGGTGCAGATACATTTATTACCTTTTCCTATCAAATAGCATTGAAAGGTGATAAATTTTACCGGTACCAGTGGACATCGGATTGTGAACTGATAATAGGCACCGTTCCAATGTGTTTGTTTAGTTCATTGGGTAGCTTAGGATAGATGACATTGAAAGATGACTGATATGCACGTATGACAGATGTTGTCATTGGATTTAACAGATGACAAATGATATTGACATTTCAATTTGACTTATGACACGAGAACTATTGCCTGACGTCACAGCGCCGCCTACCATTTGAGATAGGTGCAGAACTATCTGTTTAGCAAATTATTTTTCACATTTATTGGTTTTGAATTGTTAAAAAGTAATATGACTTTCAGGAAAATGATTTAAATTTCAAATGAAACTTTTTTCTTAAAATTAATTTGAACTATATCGGGTAACTATTGTTTTTTTATTTAGTTATGCTGGACCTTTAGCAGCAATATCCTACTTTTTCGTAACTGGATCACGTGAATTGTCCTACCATAATGCTCCAGCTGTAGTATTTTACGAATCACGTAGCCGCAGTAGTCGATCTCGTACTGATTCACATTCTACCGACATAAGGTAAGCCAAAGATAATGATTTTTTTACGAACTTGAGACAGCATCAATGATAAGGTTCTTCTGGTAACTAACTTTTTGCCCAACCTGCTCAGTAACGCGACTTTTTGAAGTATGTGAAGCGGGCAGAACGTTGACGTCACACATACGCATTCCACAGCCGGGCAAACAAGAGCATTTCCACCCGCCTAGCCGGCCGGAAATTCTGTCAATTTGACTCTGACAGTTTGACAGCGTGTTGATTTTCAGTCAATCTCAGTATCTTTTCAATATTTATTAAATATGTTTCCAAAAGGGTTGTTCAAAAAGTAGTGTGTTCACCACAGGTGGAAAGCGATTTCGACTTGTGTGATACCTTCACACTCGTCGGAATCGTCTCCTTTCCGCCCTTGATACATTAATGTATATCTTATTCACAATCTGTAGTCCAAAGGTAGAGGTAAATGTATCACCTTTCCCTATCAAATAGCATTGAAAGGTGATAAATTTTACCTGTACCTTTGGACTACAGATTGTGAATAGACAATACTATTACCTATTTTTGTACATTTTTGATTTTATAATTTGGGTGTTATTATGAGTTCTTGAAAGCACTAGTGCTATTATGAAGGACCTGATGACATTCAAATGAGAATGCTAAATGTATGATAATGATACCGACGTAGATTAAATAATAGTTATTCACATTACAAGTGCGTTTATGAACATGAATACAATAACGAGTTGAAAAATTAAAACGACGAGGTCGTAGACCGAGTCGTTCTAATCACACGAGTTTTGTAGTTTTGTTTAAACGCACGTGTGATATACAACGTTTTATCTACAAAGCGAAAAATAGGATTTTTTTTTCATTTATTAGTAGTTATCTACCTTCATTTTACCTTTACAGGTTTACCTTTGACATTTGTCAAATCACCAAAAATAGTTGTGTTATAGATTCATAACCTAGTCTATAACACCACTAGTTGTGTTATGGATTCATAACCTAGTCCATAACACAACTAATTGTGTTATGAGTCTCATGCCGTAACTCAAATACTAAAAAAATGGTTGTTAAAACGTCATAACCAAACGCTTGTAGATAATAGCTATTAACCTAACAAGTGCGGAAAATGAATTTTTCCGCACGCGGCTGCCCTTCAGCGAACGACGCGTAGCGGAGTTCTGTAAAGCAGCCGAGTGCGGAAATAGTTATTTACCTAACAAATGCGGAATCCGCATGTGTTAGGTACAAAATTTTACCTATGAGCATCTACATCTCTAAAAAAAGGCTTTGATAAAATTAAATATTGAATCAGATTAATTAATGAAATTAGATTAGATATAGAAATGATCAAAAATCCATTTTCTGAAAAAGAGAGGATTTCTGATTAAAAATATTAAATTTTACTTTACCGCACACTATGCGGTAAAGTGCACTTTACCGCATGGTGTGCGGTAAAGTGATACTTTCCATTTGCAAATACGTGCGGTAAAGTGCACTTTACCGCACGCTCGTAGGTAAAATATTTTCCGCAAGTGTTAGGTACAATATTTTTCCTACAGGCGTAAAAATGTAGAATTTTAGTTTTTTTTTTCTTGACAGCCGTGCGTTAAAAATTTTCCGCACTGACAGCCGTGCGGAAAAACTTTTTCCGCACTCATATGCGTGCAATAAAAGTTTTACCGCACCGTGAGGGAAAACTCATTTTCCGCACGCATATCAGTGCGGAAAATCGATTTTTCCGCACCGCTGTAGGAAAAAGTTATTTATCTACAAGCGTTTGGTTATGACGTTTTTTCATAACCGTTTTTCTATTATTTGAATTATGTCATGAGACTCATAACACAACGAGTGATGTTATGGACTGGGTTATGAATCCATAACACAACTATTTTTGGTGATTTGACAAATGTCAAAGTTAAACCTGTAAAGGTATGATTAGAACGACTCGGTCTACGTCCTCGTCGTTCTACGACCTCGTCGTTCTAATCTTTAACGCTCGTTATTGTAATCATGTTTATAAACGCACTTGTAATGTAATAGTTATTTACATTACAAGTGCGTTTATGAACATAATTACAGTAACGAGTGTGAAAGATTAGAACGGCGAGGTCGTAGACCGAGTCGTTCTAATCACACGAGTTTTGTAGTCATGTTTAAACGCACGTATGATGTACAACGTTTTATCTACAAAGCGAAAAATAAGAATGTTTCTTCAATTATTTTCGTTTATTAGTAGTTGTCTACCTTCATTTTACCTTTACAGGTTTACCTTTGACATTTGTCAAATCATCAAAAATAGTTGTGTTATAGATTCATAACCTCGTCCATAACACCACTAGTTGTGTTATGAATTTATAACCTAGTCTATAACACCACTAGTTGTGTTATGAGTCTCATGACACATCTCAAATACTAGAAAAATGGTTATGTAAAAACGTCATTACCAAACACTTGTAGATAAATAACTATTTTCAATCATTTTCGTTTATTAGTCGTTGTCTACCTTCACTTTACCTTTACAGGTTTAACTTGACATTTGTCAAATCACCTAAAATAGTTGTGTTATGAATTCATAACCTAGTCTATAACACCACTAGTTGTGTTATGAATTCATTCACTGTTCTGTTATGAGTCTCATGACATAACTCAAGTACTTGAAAAATGGTCATGTAAAAACGTCATAACCAAACGTTTGTAAATTTCACCAATTGAAACTGAAAAAAATGTAACAAAGATAACGATCGACATTCGTCGCAGATGTACCAATTTTTTTTCGCACATTCCAAATAGATGTATAAAATCATACTACTTATATTAAATTGACGCACTTAAATCTTCAACTGTTGAAACTATATTCTTTTTATCATTGGAAAATACACGAACTTTACCGGATTGTGTACATACAGGTCTCTCCATGGTTTCGTTAAGTCTTCTCTGATGGTTATTCCAGTTCGTTTTAAGAGCCTTTTGTTTCGGTAGACTTCATTCTTAACTTTACAAGGATTTGTCTGCTTATGCACTAGCTGACGTCACATACATACCCTCACTTTCGTTGGAGGGACAAAGCTTTGGACTATTTATACCAATCCGTATGCACTCGCACCGTATGGACTTGGGAGTTTAATCTCGCTTAGTTCGAAAATTTGCATATTAAAAAGAAGTCCTAATCTGGTTACAGTAACAAATCTGGATTAAGTCCTTACGGTGCATTCGAGCATTATACAGCTTGTCACCAATGACATAACATCACTTTCGATAGGGGGGCAAACATGTCATTCAGGTTATGTGTGTGTCGTCACCTAGTACCTAATTGTTGTTCCACTTTGTTTGCGATTTCTGCTATTAGACTACTCATCCATCCACACATGACCAAATACTTTAAATTCAATTTGATGTTTGATATTTTTGTCTGCAAACTACATAGTAAGAAATATAAGTCCCGAGATATTCTAAAAAATATCTAATATTTCACACACGTGATGCGATACCGTTTTCCCGTAGGTAGTGTATTATCTAATATTTTCGGCTACTTCTAAAATTTACAAAGTCTGTATTATTTAGTCGTATTCGAGGAGATTACGACAGAAACAGTGACTCCAACCAGGATATCTACCGAGATCAAGAAACCGGACGTACAAGATACGAAGTTCGCGAACCAGAGTTGGATGTACAAAAAGAAAAATGCACACAGAAGTTTTTGGGAACAATTATTACTACTTATGCGGTATGTTTGCTGCCTTTGATGATGATGAGATTAGCGAGGTAAATGATTACTTTAGATTTACTTTAGAATTTCATCTATTTGTTCTATTTCAGATTGGCATTAGTAGAAACTTATGAAAACAGCAGCAGTTTTGACTACACATACGTGATATTAGTCTGGATTGCATTTCTTCCGACTTGCATAACACCAGCAACGTTTGCTTTTTGGCAAATGAATAGGTAAGTTTGCTATTTTTTTAATCAATTATTAAGTTTCTCTCTATCTCTACGAATATCAAACTCAGTGTCGAACTTTACAAAGCCAACGCCGCGCAAGTAAATTTCTATTTCGCAAAGTTTCGTTACAAATGACATGATAACTTTCTCAAGAACTTGTATGCATTGTTGAACTCCGTGAATCCCATTTATTCCCTGATCATCTCTGTATACCTATGTTTTCCTTATTTTTTTGCCGACACATGCAGGAATCATAATTCTGTTATATCCTCCAGTTGTTGTCTATCTATTGATCCACGATATAAAGTTTTTATATGATATGTGTCTCATAACTTATTGGAAACGATTTTGTATTGAAATTTTGCAGCTTTTGTTTTGCACTGCATAATTAATTATATGTGTAGGTCTCACAATATTCAGAGAGTCTAAATTTGAAACAAATGGGATGTTTACCAATTATTTTTACTCTAATTTCAGTAAATAAATTGTTTTTGCAACAGCACAAACACTCTGTTTCGGTGGAAAATAATATACAGTTGAAACACTTGCACCGTGAAGGCAAATTCATTCTTTCAGAATTTCTATCAGTTTTTCCTTTTTTCTGGGAAATAATTGTTACATGCTCCAGTTCTTTGTCAGAATTGTTTCAAAGCCATTATAAGTCAGCGAGAATTGTGAACACGCAAGTTATATCAACCAATTGCCAAGCGAATTGATTATCGTGGATTATTTCACTCATGTGTTGAAAGTTCCATGAAACACAACAGATTCAAAATTACCACAAACTATTTAGTTTGTATCAAAAATTAGCATGGGAAAATGATATGGTTTTTTTGATGTACGAGTGTAATTCGAGTAAATATTTCTCGAATAAGGAAATTGGGACATATATTTCAATTTGAAACTTCTTTGTACTCTAACTACGCGAATTGAATGCACAGCTCGTTAATATTTCCGCTAAAACGGGCTCATATGAATGAAACAGAAGCAAATGCTTTTGCTAAAGTTTTTTGAGATAAACATATTCAGCTTAAATGCAGCAAAAAGGGACGGAGGTAGAGTAAAAGCATTTGCTACCTACACTTTATTCATACGACTTGTGTTTTTTGATCCAATGTTTATTTTTTCTTAGCATGAAAACCCCCCTTGTTAAAATCCTCGAGCCACTAAGCGCGCTTCAGATTCACTTCCAGTTTTCTGTTTTAAGACCCACTTTCCTGTCATCTGGACATAGTGCTCCAGACCATGTGTTGTTTTGTTTGTTGTTTATTCTTTTAGAACTTGTAGCTCTTTATCCGTTGCCTTTTTCCAGCTTGTGACATTATTTCCAATTAAGTTCTCTTTCAAACAAATAGGGTTCTCATTTACAGAAAAAAAACTCGTCTCATAGTTGTTCATCTAAATAGGTGTCTGAAATTTTCTTTTATTAAATATGAACTCGTTTTTGTAGTATTATCTTCAATTCCTGGATTGATTTCTTGTATATTGTCTGTATGATCCTTGAAGTTTTTACTCGAGTTTTCCTCATATCATTTTTCTGTTTCATTCTTGGTTTCAAACAATTTTATTTTAATTTTGAATGTTTTATTTTGTTGTTTTCTAAAACCTTTATTTTTTGAATTTTATCACAGTTTTTTTTTATCCTTATGTTACCACCGCCACCTGAGTGTGACGGTTGGGTAAGGGAGACTTTGTTTTAGCACTGGTAAAGGCCTTTTTTGTACTGCGGTAGCGTGCCACCAGGGACTTTGTTCAAAGTCAAAGCCCCACTGACAATTTAGGTAACTTTGAACGGATACTTTTTAGTAATCTGATTAGATTGCCTCTTCCAGTGCTGGTTCTTGCTACCTGAGCTGTACGCAGTTAGTTGGAATGCTAGCTCGGGATATAAAAGAATCAGTTTTTCCTACTAAACTCTAACAATGGTTTATTTAACAACTGCTGAAACTTGGTAAGGAAATTATAGAAAAGCAAAGAATATACAGTAAGTTATTAATAAGTTATACTGAAATGAATTTGGAATTGGAATGTCATCACACTCTTTCGGAAACCGACTGATAACCCTTGGCACTTGACACGATTTCGTCAGAAATTTAGCGACTTAATCTAGCTGGGTGAAAAAACCAATTAATTGTATTACGAAGCAAAAAAAAAAAGGATTTTTAGGCCGTTTTGTTACACTTATTAAAATGGTTTCCAAGCTTTATATAATTTTGTTTAACGTATAATACTGAAATACTGAGATCATCAATTAAAGGCATAGAAAAAACTTATCTACATCTTGCCTAACACTGGCCTAAAATCAGTAACCAGTCTTAATACTTAGTCGAGTAAAGTATATTTTTCGCGCCTACATATCGGATACTTCACTATTTCATCATCCTTATCCAATGGAAACGTGCCTTTGCCTTGAGGACATTACGTACCTACAAACTTCACGAAGTTTAAACATCAAGTTTACAACTAACAAGAAGTCGTTTGAGACTGCATAATTTTGAAAGATCAAATCGTGTTTGCGTTGATTACAAAATTCTATTTACCTGTGATGTACAATATTCTAGTTGAAAGAATTTGGCAGACTTTTTTTGAGGATAAAGATCACGTTATACTATATAATATATCTTCGTGACTTTATAGTGGACCCCAGTATCGGTAAAAAAGTAACTTTCTTTTTGGGGTACAGGGTGGAATAAAATTTATTTCATAGCGAGTATACGCTAGCACTACAAGTAGCAGCTGTAGATAACTGTTATTTAAAAATAACGGTTTTTCCCACCTCTACTTCCAACTGTGCTACTACATCAGAAATATATTTTATTACGTGGGAAGGAATACGTTTAGAAAGTTATTGTTAAAAACTGCATCTGGATGTATCTAAATACCTTGCTGGGTCACGTTAAGCGATAAGATTAAGCAGCAACAAAAGATGTAATGCAGTACAAACGTTTTCAAAAATGTAGTTTCCTATTTTAGAATACAGAAAAGAAAGTCTTGAAAAAACTTATTCAATACAGGTGCAGAATTAAATTTGTTCTACTTCGGCTTCGCATTGAAATTCAAAAAAGGATTCCCGGAAAATAAATTCCAGTTAGCAAGAACGAGCTAAGAAAATAAATCAAATTCGTTTTGTTGTATACATTTTTTTATTATGGTTTCGAGCAGAAACTGATATTTATTGATAGATTGGCGATAAAATTCTCTGAAAAGTATAATAAATATCAACTTAAAGGCCTGGTTTCCTCGAAAATTCGGTCGCGGAGAGCGGACAGTCCGTCCAACGTTTTACAAAATCGTTTCGTAATTTGAATCAAATATGCATGAACAATTTTTTTAATAATGTATATAGGTACCTACATATAATAACATATTACATATTGTCACAACCCCTATACGTTTCGTCCTGGGAGCGTGACCAGGGTCCTTATTCTTGAAACAGGGGAGCAACGTTCCCAGGAGAACGAGTGTTCTGTCTTTGTTACTTATATTATCATTTGCATATCATTGAGAAAGACGGAACACTTGTTCCCGTGGGAACGTTGCTCCCCTGTTTTAAGAATAAGGACCCTGCTGGGGGCGTAGGTGGGGTTCAGGTAGAGAGAAACTCGCTTGGTATAGGTATAATAAGATAATGTAGGTATTGAATAATAATAATATTACCCTAGAAATAGTAACATGACGTCTCTTCTACGGAGAGACGTACTACTTATAGGCCACTCTGTATTATGTACCCTCTGTACACTTGGCGTGACCGAAGACTGGAGCTAGGTTTGAGACAGGTCCAGAAGGGCGTTTCCCATTAAAGGTAGTTTGCACTGGACCTAGTCTGCTGCGTTCAGTACTTCCAGAAGGACGTTTCCCATTAAAGGTAGTTTACACTGGGTGGATACTTAGCTAGAGGGGCTTTTCCCATTTGAGGTACTTTGCCCTAGCCTAAGTCTGCCAGTAATGGATTTCGGCGCGGTATTTATACCAAACAAAAGCTGACTCGTCGACACACTTTAGTAAAATTGATGTACAGAGTGGTATTTACTTAAGTAGTTGACAATAATTTGGAAAAGAATATTTATCGATTATTAAAAAAATATATAGAGTGTTCCATTATAAAAAAATACAAGTTGTTTCTGTCAAATCTTTTGCGTGCACCCTGTATGTATTAAAGTTATTTTAGCGGTCCTCGTAAATCCCTATTTACTTTGTATTTACATTTTTTTCTATCTTGCTACATAAGCGAGCTATATGCTATCAAAATATACATGCAATAAAAACTAAAACGCATTTGGGCACGTACAGGAATTATTTGCGTGACCGACAACGTGACAATTTATAAATAGAGGGTAGGCAACAAAATAAGGGTGGAAAATAAAATAATAACTTAGATGCTGAGCCGACAAGACGCACGGTCGTAAAACAGATTCCAATTATTAGAAAATAAAAGGTATAACTATAATAATTGTTCTTATGTAGCTATCACTGTGTTACATTATTTGGAAATTAAATTTCATTCATTTCACGATTTTGCCAATCCACAGAAAAACAGAGTAACTCGAAAACTAAACTGAATACACGTTGGAAATAACAAAAGTGAAGCACACTTACTTACCGACATACTAATGTGTAACCTTTACAAGCGAATCTTGTACCACAACAGAATTCAATTAATAACTTTATGATTCCTCCAAGGTTTCTCCGAAAAATTGAGATCAGTCTTGACTAAAGAAACTCGGAGTCGTGTTCGAAAACAATGAAAAATGAAACAATGAAAAATCCTTATAGTTCCATGAAGGACAAATTGGCCTTTTAATTTATGAAATCAACTGTTTAGAACGTGATGGGGTTTATATTAGAACAAACGAAACAAGAATTCATGTACAGTGCATAAAAGCATAGACCTGAAAAGGAGCAAACTGCGTTGGCAACCACCAGGGCTTTGAATTTGATAATGTTGACATTCTGAATAGAGAGGCTTACTATATCAAATGGTGTTTGAGCGAAATGGATTGTATTCAATTTCATACAACAGAAATTATTACAAGATCTGGCAGTAAAAAAACTATTAATGAATTAGGCAAGTGAGTTATGTTATATATAAATAATTCACGCAGGAAAAGTTTAGCTCTCCGGGCGAGTGAGCTAAAATACTTAATTGAAGTTTGAAGTTGTCATTATCAGTTATCAGAAAAAAAAAATGTATCCTAGAATAGTAGTTATATGTATAATATACCCAGATAGAGAAGTTGGTCAGTATATACCGATCACTTTTAAAACCCGAGGCGCGAAGCGCCGAGGTTTATAATGCGCAAGCCTATATAATGACTTTCTCTACCGAGGTATTTATAGAATTTTTTTTACTACTACTATTGGAAAATAAAAAATTTGATTTGTTAAAATAAAATATTTAAAATCAATGTTTATTATAGTAAGCCTATACTGTGGCTTGAAGTTATATACTAGATATACGGAAGACAACAGAACAATATGGCTGCTTGTGAGTCATATTTATATTTTGGGGTTCTATATATTTCATTATTAAATACTTAGTTTTGTCTTATATATGATTATATCACAATTTCCTGGATTATCGGGGTCAACAGATTTGGTATAGAAATGTGAGGACATATAAATCAATAAATCAAAGGATGCCGATAACTCATGTCGGCCGTAAATCACTAATTTAATTACTTTTTCCTTGATTTTAATATTTTTATGAATTTGATTTATGTGATGACACACGCTTGGTGACTAAGTAATAAAATTTGAACGTATTTTAAATATTTAAATTAATTTGGGTCAATGCTAACTTGTCTCATCATTTTCCAATTTTATTCATACTGATTTGAAATATTGGAGATTCAATTTTTGATTATTTGATTACATTTTAATTTTTACTGTCAAGACATTGTGAATTACGGATCTATTTTTCCCTGGTCATTACAGTTCCGGTAAGGAGCTCTTTTGTCAAAATTTTGCAACAACTGTCAGCTTAAGTTTTTTTCGGAGATCCCATTGATGAGGCTCGAATTTGAGCCACCCTATACTTTCCGGACTCCTTACGTAATTTATTATTACTAGAAGTCAATATTTCTTGAATTTCTTTTTGGTGGCAGCCAATTAACAGGCTTTTTTGAAATATAATTTCCTTGTATTATTTGATTTTGACATTGCCCAAAAATTATTTCAATAGACCTTTTCAAGGACTACAACGCGCTTGCGCGTCAAATAAGTGGGGTTATGTTGGCTGTTTGTTTTGCGGTCCAAAAAGCATAGCAAGTATTATAAAAAAGTTGTAGTTAATACCTTTTCCAATTTAAAATGGCCCAAATGCCATTTAAAAACGTTAAATTATCAGCAGCAGATGTGCCGGGTGCAATTTTTCGTAATGAGATTGTAGAGAAAAATAGCATATTGGAACTTAAAAGGAATTTACGTTGAAGACATGGCCAGAGAAAGCGGTAAAAAATTAATCCCTCGGAATATCCGGGTCTTCCAACTCTGCTGTCACTATTACACTTTCCAAAAACACGATATTTGTATGCCCCATCGCTATTACTAATTTTTAAATAAGGATTTCCAATATTTTCCCATGCATAAACGTGTAACATGGACCGCAAAACAATAATCAGCTGATCGAAGAAATGACAGTGAAATTGTGCGATGTTGCCGGCTTGTACAAATTGAAGCGCGTTAGGTTTTAAAAAAAAAACTTTACAAAATGACCATCAATATATCTTTTCAATAAATAGTTTGAGTCTTTGACTGCATCAAATATAAGGTTAATTAATAATAAAGAATTTGAATGTCAGTTCTAATGAAATCGAAATTATTCACGATTCTTTCCTGTATAGCGTGATAGAAACCAACACTTGGCAACAATGTTTCGCGCATGCGCAACAGAATTATTCTAATTTGAAAAGGTCTATTCTGACTGTAGTAAAAATATTGTATGTAAGTCGTGTGCGAAATTTCTTTGTTGCTGTCGACTGATTTTTTGTCTCGGCTTAAAAACTTTAATTCTTGAGCACATCATAAACATAAATAAATTTTGATATCTTAGTTCAAAGGTTCCTGTTGAGCCAAATCTTTTTGTTTCAGCTCATCAAGAGACCGACTTAAAGGATATTTTCGTTTCAGCAATCGCAAGCTGAGACAGTCTAGTGAAACTGTGATGACGTCAGCTGACACACCCATATCCAGAAACAAGTACCGTCGAGGCTCACACATTCAACTTGACGAACGGTACTCTGATTGTACCACCAGCAGCATTCATCAAGATAATCAGTCTTCTTGAAGTTGAACCCCTACTAGAAGTGGAAGAGGACGGTATGTAGGTTTTACCAATAGGAACCATCGATCTTTGAAGTATAATTTAACAAATTATGTAGGTGGAAGTGACAAATTTTTTGTATTGAACTGATTTGAATATTATAACGACTTAATGTCCACTTTTTTCTTCTTATTGTGCTTTCGACTCTTGAGTAGTAATAAGTAGGGTTTCGAGTGTTGGGTTTTGCCTCTTGTACCCTCAAGTTGTAGATACAGTTGTACCTGCCTCATCCACTGTAAAGTCTTATAAACGTTGTGGTAAGTACCAATCCCAAATGGTAAAAACCAATTCGGTTTCGTTATTCGCTTAAAATTGGCTGACTGACTTGATACTACCTGTCTGACTATCGTATTCTACGAGCTATCGACTTCGTCATGCACTGTTGCCAAACATCGAGAGTTACTAATGAAACCCCCACGTCAAATTAACTAAATTTCTTTATCAACTATTAGTTTTTTACCTTAAGATGGCTAGTAGGCTGGTCGTTTCCTTTCTTGCGCAGATCAATATAAAATTTAAGACAGTCAGACTAAGTTGGCCTGATCCATTTTTTTAGTAGCTAAACTACATTGAAATTAATCTAAATATTTATTATTTTGAAACGCACAATTATGTAAATTGTTAAAATGAATACTAGAGGCATCTATCTTTTCTTCTCGAAGAGCAATGCAACTACTATTAGTCGGAATGAATAAACTGATAGTACTGGCAATGCTAACTCAAAACATGAATTTGACCTAAATATATTTTTTCGTAATAAAATTCCACTTAAATCTGACTACCTACTACTACTTATTTTAATTTACTGTATCTAGAGGGTAATTTTTCCATTCACTCCAAAACAGTACCTACCTATAGGTCTGGTTACTTTACCAATTCTTCGCATAACCCGTCATTCCATGTCATATAAACAATATACGAGATTTTTCATCCCAATAATCAAGTCTGTCGCTTTATGGATAAATTATGTATGGGCGTTATCACTTTTTCTGTTCTTGAGTTTGTTAACGCTTTCCTAACATTTTCGCTTTTTGTCCAATTTTTCTTGTTGTACTATCTTTTTCCCGAATCGCAGTAGCTATGAAGCCTTCTTTGTGCTTCAGCATTTCAATAAACTTTTCAATGGTTGATTAATCTAATAAGTTTAATCAATTTTCATTTGAAAATCAGTTCGATTGAAGTTTACAATGAAAGTCAATAATCAACTTAATGAACGATTCCACTTCTGATTTGTTAGAGGTTACCGATTTTATTTCGAAAAAATACATTAATCAGCTAGCTACAAATCCAAACACAAATCGTTCTCTTTAAATTAAAAAATCACCAGATGCAGGTAGAAAAATCTCATTCCTGTCCAAATAAATAATGCCCGGAAAGTAAAGTTGTCCCAAGGTTTCGCTATTTTTCCTAATAAATGCGGTATTGCTTGATAAATGTATTTGACTCTGCGACGCCTGAGGGGAGAAAAATGGCGAACAGATGGTGTGTTGTCTAGTGACCATGGGCATAACATTTTTATTTACAATCGATATTTATGATTATTATAACAGATATACCTAGATATATATTGCAACGCCACTGACTTTCGATCAAAGCCAAAAATGCTCGATGGATGCAAGTTTATCTACCCAAACTTATTATGAATGGATTTCAATCGTTTGCCAGCAAATCATCCTAATGATGTAATTAAGGGGAGGAGTTGACGCATCTGTTCCCCAATGTATAGGATAAATAGATATTTTAAAGAAATTAATCAATTTCCAAATTTAGGTAAGTGTTTAAATTGGAAAGGTTATAAATTGAAGTTGAATTAATTACTCTGAGATACGAATCGCTTCTGCGCATGCATACAATTGAAAATTTTTGAATCCCCACCTGAAATTTCTCGATGTACTCGAGGTATCAGGTGTTAAAAAAAGTTATATTTTCTCCAGTAAAAAAAAAATCGAGAAATCCATTCCGAATACCTTTAGATAATTTTAATGGATCTATCAAAACTGTCTCGAGTACATGAAACGCCACTCCATGTCTCTTCGATTTATAGAGGTTCGGACACCTCTTATTAACTGAAAGTGGCATCTGATATATTTTCTTTCATACTTAAAGATTTGTCCTTCGATATAAATAACTTTTCAAGATAATTTGAAAAGATTTACTTACATAAAAGAAAGTTTCAATCTTGAATATTTGACAGTCCATAATATATAGATTTTGAGTCGGAAAAAAAATTTGTGGTGGCATAATTAGAGGTTTTGGCAAGGAATTCAGGAAAGTGGCTCAATTTTTTTACAAATGGGCTTAATTAAAATTCACTGGAAAAAATTATCATGTATAAATATTATGCGGGACTTTTGGGCAACCCCAACCCTGTACACTTAATACTTAGTTATCACAAATTCATCGTTACATAATGTTCTCTGCCTTTGATATCTAGTAAAGATGAGGGACTTTTTCTTTTTCATTTTTGATGAAGGAATAAGCGACATCCGCCTTAGATATTTCTTTAAAGTTACCGTCGGTTCATGTTCTTCGTAATTTCGAGAGAATTCATCAAATATTTATTAGATAAATTCTAATAATATGTTTTCACTTTGTGTGAGCGTAATCTTTCTTATACTTATATTTTGTTTTCTTTTATTATTTCAGAATACCTGCGACTAATTTATTTCGAGTGGAGCAACTAATTTAACAATACAAGGAACAGGATATTATATAATGAGATATATAATGTATAAAAAATAAAACTAAATTTATTAAACCTACTAACATTGTATTGATGTATTTTTTGTGCAAGAAGAAATTGTATATAGGGCTTGAAAATGGGTTTTTCCATTAGTTTTATGAATTGTGATAAATTTTCAACTTTTTTGAACAAAAGTGAGAATTATAACATGTTCGAACATATATTTGTGGTGCCAAAAATTAGGAAACTGAAATTCTTGAAACCAAAATTTTGATAAAGATAAACCTATTTATTATAATATACATTTGTTACAAATAAAAGCAAATTTATTATGAAAACAATTTTAATTTAAATAAAATAAATATAGATAGAAAAATTTGTAATTTAATATTTAATTGGACAATAGAATATTCTTATTGAAAATTAGGTAATGTTGTTGAAGATGTGCAGACATCAAAATCATCTTAAATCTATGTGAATGTTGAATGTTTAACTTAATTTTCAAATATTTGTGTGCTCAAATTGGGGCCTTTTTTTAAGAAGTAATTTTGTACCTTGTTATTCATTTCAACTTTTTTATTCAATACAATTATCGCAAATAATTTTGAAAAATGTTAATCAATTGTTTTTATCAATAATTATTATTGCCATATATAGGTACCTATACCACTATGGGGTTAGGTCAGTTAGATTAGGCACAAGTGGCAGATTTTAGTAGGTATCTATTGAAGGTCCACAGGGTTGCCAACATTTTGTTCGTTTCCGATATATTAGGGGAAATTTAAAAAATGCCTAAAACTTATTTAATGAATATTTCAAAATCTATCAACTTTAGAAAAAAGTGTTCAACACAAAAATTTCTTCTTCTCTACAAATTGATGTAATTGTTATCTTCACACATCTCTTAGTTATGTTTACATGTTCCCCCATATCTCGGAAACGAACAAAAATTTCGCAACCATGTAAATTGACCTTCAATGGACACTTAAATCTGCCACTTCTGCCTAATTTACCCAGGCCAGGAAGATGGGATTGAACCTCGCAAACTCGACACAAGTTCTGTTTTATTTTTCTTCTGGTAGTACAAGGGGTGCTTATTATCGATCTAACTTTTTCCAAGAAATTTTCTTCCTAGAACATCCCCCTAAATCATAGCGCATTGCTGCGTTTGACGAAATAATACCTTAATAGTAAATTAAAGAAGACTAAGTGCTCTACAATTTATCCCTCGACAGCATATGTCTATCATTAAGCCTTAAGCCGGGATGGCACTCTAAAGTTGAATGACCAAAAGATATTTTGGGAAATATATTTTTTTTTTTACGAAGCGAATGTTCCATAAATCATGCAGTGGTTTCAGGTAAAACATGGGGGTGCTTTATACTAAATATTAAATATCATCCCTGTACAGGATGTATCAGGTTTGACTACAAAAATTGAAAATATGGCCCATTTTGAACAAAAAAAGTTTAGGTACACAACATGGGGTCCAAACTCAACCATTTGTGAGAAAAAGACCTTTGAAGTTTTGACATTTTTTAACGAATATTTTAAAGGTAAAAAAATTTTTAATCATTATGAGATGTAGAAAAATTTAGTTTATCAAATTATTAAGTAATTATGCATTTTTAGTCAACAACTATAACAAAAAATTGGAAAAACAACTTACAAATTTCACTTGTAAAAGGGTATCTAAACATCTGGCAACACAGCACAATAAAGAATAGGTGGTTGAAGGTTGAACCTTGGTGGAGCTGAATAAATTGATTCTTGATTTGGTCTAGTTAGGAAACGCGCGTAATTCAAATTAATTATTTTTTTTAAATAAAATGTTTAGAAACATCGAATATGCAGATACTTGTTTAGGCAGAAACGTTGCAAAATGCTCATTTAGCCGCCAGAATTTACAAGGAAACTAGGGAAAGATTTCCCAAAAGAAAAGCACCCACCTGATGAAAGAACATTGTGCCCGTTTTACAAAGATTGCGTGATACAGGAACTGTGAGTTGTGAGTGTGCAAAATTTGCGTGTTGATTTTAGTGTTTTGAGAACCTTTGAACAACAATTAATATTTTCATAATACGGATTTGACAAGTAGCTGTGTAAGTATTATTTGATTTTTCTCTTGAAATGCAAAAATGTCATTGAGTGCAATTCACAACTTAATAAAACGACACATTTTTTATTTTTACTAGAAAAGTGATAAAAATGCAAGTTATTAAACTAGTCAAAACGAAATAAGGACCACTTTTAAGAGCACCTTGGGTTTATATTAAATTTTGAATAACCCTGGTAAAGTGACTATTTCCATTTACAATATAGATAAACACAAAAAGTGTGCACCAAAAATTTATATTATGAATGGAAATAAACACTTAACCAGAGTTATTCAAAATTCAAAGAAAAAGTGGTCCTTATTTCGTTTTGACTAGTTTATTTACATTATTTGAAAGTCAATAACAAACCAAAACGTAAACAGATGGAAATAAATAAACTCCGTGCAAAAAAAAAAAAACTTTTTAAATTCACCAGTTTTATTTACATTTATATCCAGGCAGAGATAATACCTGTACAATGTTGTCACGTTGTCAACATTTTTCTAAATTTAAATTCTGCAATAACTCCGAAAATACTAACAATTGACCCATGGTTGATAGGACAGTTTTAGCATGAAATGGGCCATATTATCTCATGTTAAAACATTTGTACTCATACCTGATACATACACATACACTGATATACCTTATATATCTAATAGGAAGAACTAACTGTTTTTAAATAAAATATAAACCAAAAAATCGGCCTCTCATTTATGCTGCATGGTTTATGGAAAATTCGCTTTCCTGTTTGAGGGAAAAAACAAAATCCAAAACATCTTTTTTCAAGGTCATTTAACTTTAAAGCGCCACCTCAGCTAGAGGGTAGGTGATAGACATATGCTGTCACTGGATAAATTGTAGAGTAGTTAGTCTTCTTTAATTTACTATTGAGGTATTTTTTTGTGAAACGTAGCAGGAGCGCTAGAAATTTTGTTGGAAAAAGTTAGATCCCTTGTACTACCAGAAAAAAAATAAAACAGAACTTGTGTCGAGTTTGCGAGGTTTGACCCCTCTTTCCTGGCCTATAGTGGTATCTCTTAAAACGGACACCCGTATGTTTAACTTTTGGAATTTTGTTCAACAATATTGATAATAAATGTTAAGTGTCTATACATTTGTTTAATTTTTATGATTATTATAGAACAAGTATCCTGTTAATAGCAAGGTAAGTGACAATATTTTTTACGCGAGAGCTTGCTTCTGACGATACGGAGTTTAAAGAGAAAGAAATTCAATAAAAAATAATATGTATGTATTTCCCAAAAAAAAAAATCAATATTTGAATCTAAAGGTACCGTCGTCAGCAAAATAAACTGGGACATTCAAGGTCATATCATAATAATAATTAAATTTAGTGGATGACCTTAAAAGTTTCGATTTTCTTTTGCTGAGTAACTACATCGAGAAATCCTGTGTTTCGTTTTTATCAAAACACAATACCATTTGATATAGCAAACTGCAGAGCGAGTAGTTTCCCATTTGTTTTTTGGCGATAACTTCGGAATTCTGACTAGATAACCATAAAAATCCCATTTATCTAGTAACGACAGTTTAACGAGCGTTTGGCTGGTGATTTATTTTCTAGTATATCAATTTAGATAAAAAGTTATTTTATCAAGCCACAAGTAGGGTAAGAGAAGAATATATTGTTCACTCAAGCATATTTGAAAAAGCGTATATTGAAAATTAATCATAGTCGACAAAACAGGATGTGCAACAAATAAAATAAATTTATCGAAAGCTATAGGATTCTGTAACATCATCGAACTTGGCAGAGCTATTGGGATTGAAAAATCATTTGTCCAGCAGCTTGTAGCAGCACCAAAGTGAGTGGAAATATTGCTTGAGAAGATCCGAGGGACATATAAAAAAAGCACATGTTTCTCTAAGCGTTGAAGGAGGAATATCAACCCCAAAACTATTAAAAAAAAAATCTTTCCAGATATCCCGAAGGTAGTGTTAAATTAAACCCGTTCTTTATTTGGCCGAGATACAGGAGAGAGTCTATTTGATACTACTATTACCTACAAGCTACTAAACTTAAGCAATTAACTAGTGACAATAATACGACGCTATCAGTACTGTACTCGATGCTTCCTAAACCTAGTTTGTGTACAGCAAACAATGCTTTTTATGACTCAAACTCTTAGTCAACAAATCTGCTGGCATTTCTCCTGTCAGCAAATATTTCAATTTTAAATGTTCAAAAATCAAAAAAATCAAAATCTTTATTAACGCATGTAGCATTTACAGATTATAAAAAAAACTTAAAATTTTAAAATAGAACATTTTCGGCTTGTCGATACGTATAAAATACAGGAGCAAGATGGCGAACTGACCGTTCCATAAATATTAAAATTAAAAAAATATATAAATAAAATTCAAAACCTAAAAGCGAAAAGTGAAACATACAAAAACACTTAATACTAAAGTAAAATAAGAGTTATCATTTGCTTCCCTGACCAAATGATGTCTACTTATGCCTTTTATGTTATACAGAATTTGAAGAAAAGTTCATAGCACTCTGATTATCATAACTTATTACATAAAGTTTTTCTCTAAATTATTTAAATAAATTGCCTCTTTGACAGCCTCTGATAACGCTATATATTCAGCTGAAGTTTTTTGCTTTGTGCTTCAGTAAGAAATAATAGAACCTGGAAATTTGAATACGTAACCCGTGATCTTCTGTCTTTTGAATCGTCAACTGTCAGCACCGACAAAACCAACCAGTTCCTTCCCTTCTTCTGAATAAGTTCATTTAAAATACCCTTCATAATATAGCGTAAAATTCGTTTCATTTCTATTGAACATCGGTATGTGATACATTCAATTGGCTCAAAAAACTGACACTGATATGCCTGGAAGTGTGAGAACATACATTAGGCTTCCTATCATACACCAAATCCATCATCACCAACCCGAGATAAGTCTAATTTACTCTCTTTGCAATTTTATAATCCATCATGATAAACCTTATCAACTGTTCAATATAATGTTCTTGACCTAAAGTTAATATGTTCTTATTTTTATCTAAATATATCAATTCCCATACCTAAATAATCCTTGATTTGACCTAAATCTTCAACTTTAAATCTAGAACCAAGGTCTTGCTTTAAAATCTTTGTTTCATTGTCTGAACTTGAGAAAATTGAAAAATCGTCGACATATACAGCAACAATAGTTCAAATATCATCTGAATTTTTAGCGAAAGAGCCATGTTAATTTTTTATAGTCTAATTTCGACGAAAAATTATTGACTTTCTCATACTAAGCTTTCGAAGCTTGTTTTAAATCATAAATGGCACGTTTTAACCTATGAACCTTCTTCTCATTCTATATGTTTCTTGGTTTTAACCTTGAGGAATTTTCATGTATTGATCTTCCTTGAAATAACCATTGAAGAAAGCAGTTTTCACATCAAAGTGTCTAATATCTAATTTCAACTGGACAGGACAATGATTTTATTTCTCCGAACTATTCCCCTTTCGCTTAGACACCCACTTACAACCAACCAATGGTTCTTCTAGACAGTCAGTATGGTTTTCACACATAACAAATTTTTAGGCTTTCGTTGCCTACTGGATCGTCTGATGTCATTATGTTGAAACTCATCTTCTATAACACCCTCGTATACATAATCCTCTTCATCAACATCTTCCAACTTATCTGCTAAATTCTTTTCAGCTTTTAAATCATCGATTTAGTTATAAAATTAACTCCCGGACACTTTCTTAGTGTTTGTGTAGAAGAAAGAACCCTATCAAAATGTTTATTCAATTTCATTAATATGTCTGTGTGTATATTTTCCATGAGGATAAAGTAACAAATTGCTAGAAACATGCCCCAATTCAAATTGCTACTCTATACTACATTCAAATCAGTCGACAGACATTTAATTAACATTAAAGGCAAGAGTACAACATCTGGGACGTTTGAGAATTATTGTAGCTGTGCCAAAAACGAGATTTTCAAAGAACCTGTGCATTCGTCGAATTACAATTTGTTTCACGAAATGAATTTTACTTTGCGAAGAATACAAGGGTTGGTTAGTCATGCGAAATGTGTTCCATTTAATTTATTACTTAGATACACTCATTCTTGTCAGCTGTTGAAAACTTTTTTGTGTTCAAACCTAGCAACTAATAACTTTAATGAAAATTGTGTTTTTGCCTTATTTGACTCGCTTTCAGTTCAGTGTGCCACGAAAAGTCGAATAATTATTAAAACGGGAGACAGTTTTTTGGTAAAATGTCTCTCTTGCGATTTTTATTAGGCAGATGATGGCAAATGCGAGTAATGCGATGGACGTTGAAAAATGATGATGAAATGAGGGTGGGTAAATGCTAGTTTTTTGATTGAAACATCATTTTTCATTGGTTTATCCATTATTCAATAGTTTGTGTGCTCTCTACCTACATATTATTTTTAACCACCACCAACTCAATTAATTTTGTTATCAATATGAATTTTTGGTTTTATGATTAAAAACAGTCAATTTCTTCTATCTTTTAATAATATAAGTATGTAGCATCCGCGCCAAGTACTCTAGGTTAGATGATAAATTGCGAGCGGTCGTATTTGATGGTAGTTATTTCCTTGGGCAGCTACTGAAAAATAAAATTATGGGGGAGGGTCTATTTGCAATTGAAAGAAACAACTGATTTATGGTTATCCGTCAATAACTATACTTTATTAATAAGAAAATAAACAGATTTTCATTTCCAATTACAATGGTACAAATTTTCTAACTCCTGATCCAACACCTTTCTAAACAGTTCTAAATTGATGTAATCGTACAGCCTCCTCTACACTGTCTCTGTGTTTGTAAATCAAATGATGTAATCAAAAAGCCTTGTACTTTAATAACACTTTCATATAGTCCTACTACGTTAGGTACAATATTTTTAGGTCCTAAACACCTTTTACACCTCAAAACAATAATTCATAATTTAGTTTAATTATTATAACCTCCTGTTCTATAAGCGTATAAAATACAACTCGCTTACTGCCAAATTTTGTACAATACTTGTACTCAAAATCGTGTACTTAGCCAGAGTAAATACTATCAAAACAATGAACATTTTATCTAAATTCATTCAATTAGAAACCAAAATATATAACTAATCATTTACTTAACGGAACAAAACAGTCAATTTGATTATTCAAACTCTTCAGTAAAATTTATTTCAAATTAACAGTCATTTTAATAATTATATTTCTCTATCTATACTAAGAACAAAAATATTCAAAGATAATAATAGTTATGCAATAAAGTTTCATAGTCAATTCACTTCATAGTTATTTCAACATTGATAAAATAAAGATAAAACTTGTTACTAGAGTACTTACAATTAACACTTATTTATTCTAATTATTATTTAGTGCAAAATAGCTAGAGCACGCACATAAAAACTGAAAGGTTTACTTCTTTCTTAATTCGAGTTATTTACTGTAATTTTTACATTTCCAAGGCCCAACTTTGTATTCTTGAGATAATTCGCCATTTCTGAATACTACTAAATATTGAGTCGAATTTTCGATAATTGATTGATGATTGCCTTAGAGCGCGCACATAATGTTGAACGAATTTAAATGTTCTTTCTTTCACAATTTTCCGTTACTTTTTCAAAGTTCGATTTAACGCGTTTTCCCGAGGCAACAAAATAGAAGAAACTCTTCGCGAATTTAATCCGCACTGGCTCATTAGGTACTGTAGACTTAAATTCAAGACTGAACTGAACTGCAAACTAAGCTTAAACTGATTCCGAAACCGCTGTTTCTACATTTTTCATTCCCCCCAAAATATTTCGGGGTCACTTTACACAACACTGATCATTGACCGTTATTCTTTTCTAGGAAATCTAATTTATTTGTTTAAAACCGAATAATTATGTCGCATGTTGAAATATTAGAAATTTAATTTTTGATTATTTGATTACATTTAATTTTTACTGTTAAGACATCTTAAATTACGGGTCTATTTTTCCCGGGTCATTACAAGCATTTCAAAATCTATACTTATGAACACAAAAGTACGAAACTGTCGCGTCTAGAAGTAGGTATAGTGTTTTACGACCTGATCGATAAGACCAGAATATTAATACTTTCATTCTCATTTCATAGACTATTTATTTTCATCTCGGGAGCTTGCGAAGTTTAACGATCCATTAAGCGTTAAAATTAATGGACTCTTTGATGGAATTTAATTCGATCTATCAGAACTTATACGACAGCTCAATCATTTTCCAATATAAGTTGGTCCAATACAGCCTATTTTTTTTTGAAAAGTTGTTAACCCCTAGGAAGTCTGCGCTTCAAATCAACTAACTGTCATAAAACTATCTGTGAAAAATTTCCAATATAAATGTAAAACTTTTAGCTTCTTTATGGATTGATTAAAATTGGCAATTTGGAATTATTCTCTTCAGAGAAATCTCTAGAGCTAATAATTTTATCCATGAAATTACAATAAACTTTTAACTGTAATAAAATTAAATTTGTTCACCTATGTAGGATAATAATAATTTAAAAAATCCTCTCATGTACAATTTTATTATATTGTTATGAATTTGCCTCAATAGCTTGGCTGCATTGGAAATTCGTTGTTTACATATGGAAGCAGGTATTTACTGGGAATTCTATTATATTCGCTTCGATATTTTTTTTTTTGGATATATGAGGTCATTTTCGACTATGAATAGCGCATAGTAGTAGGTATAAAGGACAGTCTAAATACTTAATAAAGACTTGTTGAGAATAGGCTTATTCAGCCATCAACACAGATAATGATAAGCTGAGGAACTTGTGCACAAAATTAGCAACACCGAATGGAGGTCTCTAGGGAGTTACTTTAAGGCTTCAAGTCAGAAAAGTGACATATTCTCTTGGATAGATGACACAAACTTGTGGTAATGCTGGGAAAATCATCATTCCTTCACATATGGTTGTAAATAAATCTATGGATATTGATTTATCCAAAGGGAGTGAAAAAAAAAAACTATTTCGTCACAGACACGTATCTAACTATTTATTTAAAATATCTAACTAAAAACCGAAAATAAATCCTATATAAATTTCACATAGTACATCGTAGAGCTTTATAGAACTCGCTAAACTGATATGTAAAATAAAACACCAAAATGTGAACTAATTTATGCATGAACATCAAACCTATCTATCTGACCTGGAAATAAAATCGCAAATAACTTGAGCCTGATCTAGTCCTGACTCGTAAGCGCCGTGTGTCGTCGAATAATGTGACGGATGAATGGCTTCTCCGGCCAAAATAATCCGGGGCACGTCGTCAACCATCACAGGCTTTCTCAACGCCCGGATTCCGGAATTCGGAGCGTCACATTCTGGAGTTATGTGGCAATAGCTGCCTTTCACGTATGGGTTCGAAAGCCACTGGGTCCTGCAAATAGGAAAAATTGTTTTTATTGAATGTGTTCACTGAAAATTTAGCAGTGGATAGAAATTACGCATTAAGATTTTACCTACATATTATGGATGGGGAGTTTCTAAATACCTATTATAATATTAAATCGATAATTCGATCGATTGATAAAATAATATCGATCGGAACCCTCATTTTATTAGGGTGAAGTCACTAAACACAATATTTACCTAAATTAATTTATGTACAATTGTTTTCAATTTTGCCTTCCTCAAATTAAGTGTTTATTATAGTAGTTTTAAGTGTAGTAGTCCAGACATATTTTTCTATAATGTGGATGTCCTTACGGATAGTATCCTCTTCTTTTTTTGACTCTTCGCACTGATGATGGCTGATTAGCTGAAAGCGCTTTGCTCTTATTAGAAAATATAAACGTTCATACAAAGTCTCCTACTTTATTTGCTTCAATTACATTAGGTACTAAAATTATATTGTAAAATCTCCTGGTTATTTTAATATTGTCTTTGGGTCTGTTTCAAATATAAGTTCAAAGTTGAGTAAATCTTTCTCTCAGATTGTTTGTATAATTTCAACTATTTCAAGTTATTACTATAAAAAGAGGTTGTATATTTGCTTATGCGCTCCCTTGTTATTGGCTGAGTTAGACGGTGGGATCACTAGAATCTGAAGAATGTGAACTCAATTACTGAAAGCTGATTTCGGTGATTTACATCTTAAAAAAGTGAAATTTGAAGGAAGCCGTACTACAGTTTCTCTACTTCAAATTTATATGGTTAACTTATGCCTTGTAACGTGCCTAAATTAATGTAAAATTGCCTTATCAAAATTAATCCATTGTTTTTGTAATTTTTCTATATCAAGGACAATTTTTCCATTAACTGTGCCTTCCTTCATAATCGAATATCTTAATAAATCCTAGATCTTTTCGCTATAGAATCAAATTTTATTAATTACTTACATATTCGCCGAAAGTATATAATTTCTAGCTTGGAATCAGCTGTTTGAGTAAGCAAGTTGTTTTTGAGATCGATGATCTTTCTGGTTGATAATTTTACCAACTCAATTTTGGTTAAATTCGTTTGAAAGCGCCTAGCTGTACGAAAGTATTTACCGGTGCGTCATCTAGCTAGTTAAAGGCTTATCTCTTATAATTTTGGTATTTTTCTGTAATTACTTCCGTCTCACAAGTTTGCAATTTTAATACTGAGGGCACTAAAATCTCTAGTATTGATATCTTGGGTATCGACTTTTGATCGATAACAATTTCACTTAAATTAATTTTTATTCACTATTGTTACTAATTGCTGCTACTAGTGCATTTAGTTTTGTCCAATTCGTTAATATCTAGAGTTGGTAATGGTTTTTGGCACGTTTTAACTCCTTCCACAGCTCCTTGGCAAAACATTTTATTTCCAGAATCAGTATCGATTGTCATATTTTTGCTCTATTCCTGGCCAAAATTTTATGGAGTTCAATGTCAAGTGCACCATTTCGCTATGCGAGGTGACTTGCAGGTTAATTGTAAGAAAGGTTTTTTTTTTACATCCAGCTTTCAATTGGAAAAGAGATCAGGGTTAAATAGTTACCTTTGCCTTTAAGTCTACCCTTTTCGGGGATTTGAACCCTGCATGTCACAAGTATTAAGTTACAGTGCTTATCTGTTGCGTTTTTACCTTTGAATCTGTAACTTAAAATCGTCGTTGTACGGATTTTGAACCAATTGTGTCTGGAAGTGGAAGCCATTCTGGTACCGTAGACCTGAGTACCATTATCTTGCCAGAAAACCCTGTGTGACAGGTAATATTATATTAATGTATTTATTTTATATGACAATCGACAATTTATTCTGTTAAATTGCCTACACCTTTTTCCCTCAGAACTAATTTGAAGTCTAATTTTATTCAAAGAATGTTGTCACATGGTTTGATTTCAATTACCACGTTTTCCATAGTTTTCAATCAGTTATTTTAAAAGAAAAAAAGATTTAAGAGTTCTTTTTACAACAGTATTTCATTCTTAGGGTTTTTTTTTTTCTATCTGAGGTTTTCTCTCCGTCTGAGAGTTAAGTACGTTACGGTCCCATTTACCCCACCGAATTGCTGCTTGGTAGAAATTCAAGTCCATCAGTTGGATTCCACCAATAACCGGTGTCTCAAAGCCGATCCTTGAGATCTGCTCATTTCATCAAGCCCTGAGTGAGAACCAAGGAGCCAGCAGCTGTTTTGTGGTATCGTAACTTAACAATTGATCATAATTATTACCTTTTTTTTTACCTTTCATTCTCTTACCTTTTTTTATAAATTTAAATTTGTACCTTTAGTAACTTAGTTTTTGTGTTGATAATATTTGTCAGGTTGTCAATTGATCAACAACATATCACCAAGCTTAACTATTTATTTTCCTCAAACCAGTTGACTTAAATTCCATTTTTAATTAACGTAAATTCCATTTATAATTAATTTAGTTGCACTTTTCATAACCTCATTGACCTTATCTGAACTGCAATAACTTGATCCAAACCCAATATTTAGATTTAATAGGTGGTTATAATCAACCAAATTCTAGCAATTAACTGTTACATAATTTCATAACAATTTAATTGAAGGTGTAAACCAGAGTGATATCACAAAGGTAGTAATATTGCGTATACTAACGAACCGGTTTATATAATATATTGGATTATTTATTGACATTGATTTATTTTATATTGACTTGAACCCGGATTGCTCTTGTAATTTTTCTTAATGGACTAATGCCTAACTAACTCTAGTTTTTTTTACATCAGAATTGAAGTCAATAGTTACCAATATCTAGGTTGGGTTATTGATTTATTACAGGATTTAACCGTTATTTAACTGAACGTTTAATTGAGGTATTACTTTATTGCTTATGCATTTAATTCATATTGTTCAACTGACTTGAGTTTGGTATTGAACTACAACTTTTAATTTCAACTGATTTGTAGACTTTTCATATTTATTACCTGACTATTGAACAACCGATAATTACCTAATTCATTTATGCTGACAAATTATCGAGCAATTACTGTATTTTTATTAAATAAATTTAGCTCTTGAATCTTAATATATATTTGTTTCATTTGACTCTGGAAGCTCACTCTTGACTACCAACCAGTGGCGTTACTTTGATTGAACTGAATATTCCAATTAATTATTTATTTATTTTATTTTATTATTCTGTTTTATTTTTATTTTGTTTTGCCTGTATCATAATATCTTAGTCTTTGGGTCCAGCCAACAGCCTGGAGAATATTGACCATTCTGTCCAAGGTCAGTGGCGCCCATAAAAAAAAAACCACCCCTACTCTCCGTATTTAATTTCTGAGCTAGGGCTAAATTTGCAACGTCCTAGACATCCAATAGACCAAAGCTTTTAATTTCATAATTTCAATTAATTTCAATTACATTTCACTTTTTATTCATATTAAGAAAAAAACGTAGCAGCCTAATGTGGAATATATTCCTAATATGGTATGTAATTGGAAACAAAAAGTTGGTTGGACAAAAAATGTCATACACAAACTTTACAATTATTATTAAAAATTTATTCCGGAGTCATTTCAAAAATTAGACGGCTTTCTCCGCATGAAAAGTTGAAAAGCTCCATATACATTGCTGGATTTGGAAAGCGATGCTTTGAATAACCATCTTTGTAGCAGTTATTTACAATGCATGAAGCAGCAGGCATGATGAAATGGGACTCAGTTTATCACCTTTAAAAAGAGTCAACTTTTTTCTAATAATAGTTTATGATATACCAAGGGACTAAAGTTGATATTTTATTCCCGCAGGTGAAATTTTGCAGCCTGAGTGAAATGAGGGCTGCAATTTACTAAAGGGATGAGAATATTCATTTTAGCCCCTCTCCGCAGAAACTTAAACGAACAGTTTACTCCTAACATCACAATTTTTTTTTTATGATACACTTTTGAAATACCGTTTGTTATGCATATTGCATATTTTTTACAATAACAAAATAGAATGCATATTTAGTGATTGTGTATGTATATTGTGATCCATAATAGTGCCTAAACCATAAAAACATGAAAGGGCTGGTATTCACAGACTCTACCGCGAAAACAGGAACCAAGCACGACCCCAAAACCGCGAAGGGAATATATGAAAGCGAATAAATTAAAAATGCCATGGGTCAAAAACCATATGGGTTATTGATAAAGTAATGGAAAATGTATTAAAAATTTGATGTTAGTATTTCCAAACTCAATTGAAACAAGGTATTGTTCGTCGATTTTTATCTGACACTTTCCGTATGAGGAGCGAGGGGGTGAAGTATATGGCAAAAACAGCTGTGACGTCAGGTGACCAATGGCGTTCTAATGTAGGGTGCCACCAGCTCACATTTCTTCGGAGTATTATAACGATTCCCTTTTGTAGAATTAGTGCTACAAAAGTGTATCCTTATCCTTATATTTTACATGATTTTAGAAAAAGATGTGGATACACTCAGTGCACACTGATTGACAAATGGAAATCGCCATCTCAGATTAAAATCGACGGACTTTACCAACTGGTGGCTGACAAGTCATTGAAAATTTCCATAAGAAATGCACTGCTACTAGTTAGCCATGCACTAGCTATGATTTATGTTCACCTTGTTCCAATTGACTTTGGAAAAACTATACTAAATAAAATGTTTTAGAAGGTACCTATAGGTAGAGGGCTTAAATTTCAAAATTGAAAGGTTTGTCCAGTTACTGTCCTGTTTATGCAGCGGAGTCCGGGAACCGGCTTATATTACATTTATTTATACTTTCATTTCAAAACTTGCCACCCACGTATTCTGCGTGAACAGACAGATTCTTGAAAATCGCCGAAACACGTCAACAAGTTTATTGAAGGGGGATGTTTTTTACGCGGATGAGATTTTTACAAAACATATGACTTCTCAAGAAATAATCTTTGTCTTCAAACCTTTTGAGGATATAAACCTAAAAAAAAGAACAAAGCAATTCTTGA